GTAAGTTTCACTAGAACAGAGCATCTCAGCTCAAAGATTCATGAAGCATTTGTTTACATCTTGACCATTTAATTATGCTGAGATTTTCAGTGGAGTTCTCCTTTAACACAGACAACAGATAACAAGCTGTACTTTGTGAATAGACACTGAATAAATAAACTAGTTGTTTGTATGTGTTTAAAGCACCAGTGATGGATAATTATAGCAAAAACTGCACTTCCACTCAACTTTCACTGTAAATATGAACGAAGGCCATCATTTCTGTCTAAAGGAATTTTAGCGTGGGAGTAGAGTCAGCCGGCAGAGAGAGACACAGAGAAACCGGAGGAGCCGCCGCTCTCCGCCTTTAATGATATTTTATACTTTGTTGCTGAAGGAGAACAGAGTCTGTCGCCTGTGTGCTTGACCACCTGTTCCTGGTCTATTTCTATAGAGTCTACAGTGCACGCAGGCAAGGGGAACTCCACTGCAACCCCTCTACTACTGCACACACAGACCCAGTAATGCAGCTGCTTCACCATTCATGAGACGATGAGAGGGTTACACTAAGGCCCTAACACGTTTCTTAATTTTACCCCTACCCCTTGTTTTCGAGAGTCACCTTGCCCTTTAGAACTGGGTTACAACGGGTAGTGGTTGGAATCTTCCCCTATGAAATGGGGCCCTCAAATGAAAGAGAGCATTACTTCATTCACAGCTACCAGTGCTGCTCTGTAGGAGACCCTGCCAGTCTGCAGTGACAGCAGAGGAGGGTAAAGTTCAGCTCCTCACTGCTGGGCTTTAGTTACATTTAAGGAATTATATGCCGTCAAAGAGGGGCAATTATTTATTATCGCCCACCCCTAATTCTTCAGTGATATGAAGCTGAAGTCAGATATTCACCAGATTCTTCTTTGAATTTTCCCATTCCACCTTAAATGGAGCAGCAGTTGCATTCTGGCACTTCAGGCGTCAGAACTGCTGGACTATTTAAGGTGGAACAGGAAATTAGCTAGCTACCGAGACACTGGCATACTACTAGCAATTTTTAATGCTTGTTATGAAGAAAAGGACCAAAATACACTGAAATAACATTGAACTAAGATAATATGATGGTTATCGCAATTTTTTAACAGAGAAAATTCTCACATTTGTGGGTTTCTTTGGTCTCTTGTGAAGCCATCTTGCCGGTTTTTCTGTTTTTTGTCATAACACTCCGTTTGGAGTGAGTCTCTGGAAAACCTTAACACGCAAAACAAAGGGGGGCTAAGGGCTAAGTGGTGGGGGCGAGGGGCGAAATGGGATTGGGCCTAACACTGAGAAAGTCTGCCTAAGCAGAGTTTAAATGTCTGAAGATGCTTCAACTTTACTGAACTATTAATCTATTTAATCACAGCCATTCCTGCTTTTCCCCTTTTCCTGTCTTATACTAATGATCAAGCCTTATTCTCTGCTCATATTGCTCTTGTGTTATTGTTTGCTATCCGGTGCCGGTGGGTTCCCCTTTTGGGTCTTGGTTCCTCTCAATGTTTCTTCCTCTTAGGGAGTTTTTATCGCCACTGTCTCCATTGGCGACGCTCATGGGGGCTCAGACCCGGATTTTCTGTAAAGCTGCTTTGTGACAACACCTGTTGTAAAAAGCTCTTTATAAATAAACTTTGACCAACTTTCACTTAAGGGAGCCGCTCTGCTGACTCACTTTCAGTGTTCTGCACCCACATTCAATGAGGCAAATACAGAGAAAAAAAAAAGATGTTACATGTTTATTTATAGGTTCCTGTATTCGTGGACTTTTATTTTGAAAGGACCGTGGTGGTGTGGTAGAAAAGCTCTCCTATGCCTGCCAAGGTTAGTTAGCCTGAGCCAGCTGTGAGTGTTTGTTTTTGGTGTGTTCTTGGTGAACTGCAAAACAAAGCTAAGCATGAACCAGACCTCCGAGTCGTTCAGAGCGGTTTGGTGTGAAACACTCTGTTCCAGAGAAACTTACAGAGTCTGAATTGTTCACAGTGGTGCTGATAGGAACCAGACGTCTGAGAAGGTTTTGACCTAAAACATATATTTTTTAAGTATATTAATAGCGGAGAGAAGCATGAAGGGTGCTGTATGGCCAATGAAAACTGTTTCCCCCAGATTTACCACTATTTAACTATCATCATTACATAGAAAAGGACAGAAGACTCGTGTAGGTTCACTGGTGGTTTTGGATAGTAAATAAAATGTCTATATTTGTGTTGTAGACATTGTGACCCCCTCGTCTCTACAGTGAACCACGTTTTCCTTTCTCTAAACATAACATTTATCATTTAAACCAAAAAAGATCTACTTTGGTCTCGTCCATCCACAAAACATTGTTCCAATAGTCATGTCCATGTGATCTTTATCAAACTGCAGATGGGCAGCAACGTTCTTTTTTGGAGAGCAGTGCAAGTAATTCAGCAGGTTCACATACTTTCTGCCACTCACAGGTATGTAAGGACCATTTTCCTCAATAAATAAATGACCACGCCTAATATTTTTGTCTCATTTGTTGAATTTGTTTCTCTTTATTTACTAACAGGACTTGTGTGAAAATCTGATGAAGTTTTAGGTCAAATTTATGCAGAAATATAGAAAATTCTAAAGCTTTCACAAACTTTCAAGCACCACTGTATGTGGATACTGTCGGTACTTAAAAACACTTCCCATCTGCATGCTTGATTGAATAAACAGTATGATTAATTAGTTTTAGTGCAGCACAGTATAAGAAATGTTGAATAGAAACAGTTATGACCATTATATTCATAGTTTTTCATACTACCTTGTAAATTTGGCACTGGTATCATGTATCGTGAAAACCTGAGGTATTGTGATATTACATTTTCGCCACATCGTCCACTTCCACTCTCAAGTACAAGCATCAGTGCAGTGACCTATTTCAAGTGACCCAAAATCTGACCATACTTCACTAGCATGAGGTCACCAACAGTTCGATTACTGCCACTTGGAGACTGGTGGGACACTGGGGGGGCGCAGGGCAGAGTGGAAATATTGAAGCCATGTCTCCAGTTTGTGGTCATCTGAGGTTTATGTGTTTCCCACTGAGACTTTGAGCCTGGCTATTAACTTCCTGCCAGATCACCCACTCAGCAGGCAGTGCCAGCTAATGTCCTGATGCCCAGCTGGCACTACCATGGAAACATGCCTGATGTGCACGGGAGTAGTCCTGTTTGGGGCAGTGTAATGCAGAGGGTGGCTGACTGAGCAAACCTTGGAAACACACACACACACACACACACACACACACACACACACACACACACAGGAACACCAACAGCATATTTTCTCATGTTAACTAACATCTGTCCAGCAAGTGCAGTTTAATGTTCTTTGGCTGCAGATGTAAAATGCTGGCTATAATTAGTGGGGCTGATATCTAGAACTGGAGAAAGCCAAGTTTTAGTTCCCACTTTCTCAGCTGTGAGTGGCATTTGTGAGGATGTAAATACACACTCTCCTGTGGCGGTGAGGTGTGGTCAGCATCACTTTTTTTCTCCCAGCGAGGCCTTCTTTTCCATTTATATGGACATCTGCTGATGCGAGTAGTTTAGAATATAGTCTTAGATGCCACATCACCCTGATTTGGCTTTCATTTTTGTCATTCTGAATGGCTTTGTTTACATCTCAACTATAATATTACACAAAAATATAGAGAAATCAGTGTAGTTCCTCTTTAATAATGCAACACTTTGGTACACAAAGTGATGCCCATGTGATGAACTCAGCAAAACCCAGTATTCTAGTATATTTCGTCAGTCATTCTGAATGACGTTTCATTTTATTTATCCCAAATTCTATACAAACAAACTACACTCTCATTTTAAACTACACTCTTAGCCAAATATGGGTTCTATATAGTACCAAAAAATGAGTTCTATGGCTTGTAGCAATGTTGACCATATTGAACCATCTACAACACATTCTCCATCAATCTGAAGAACCATTTCACAATGCAAAGAACCATTTAATCATGCAAAGTGTTCATGGTTCTGCATAGAACCATTTTCTTTACTGAAGGACCTTTGAAGAACCATCTTTTGTAAGAGTGTAGTCATCACAGCAGCATCACTAATATGACGCTAATGTTATCAAAGCTGGACTTCACTCAGTGCCCACCGTTCTTCAGTGGGGCCATCATTAGCACGTGCTAAATATGTCTTATATATGTCTTATAAATATCTTATATTTGATTGCTACTCCCAGGGGAAACACAGTGGTATGCAAAGGTTAGTCAAATTACATGTTTATAATGAATAAATAAATAAATGAAGAAAAATAAAAAGAAACTGGCTGAAAATGCCATATTTAGGTTTGTAGAGCAGTGGTCACCAATCCTGGTTTTGGAGAGACTTTCTTGTGGTGTTCCAACCACAGTCTGCCACACCTGTCCAGCTAATTAACTCCTTCCGAAGCCCTTAATGGGCTGGATCAGATGCATTAGTGTTAGATAAGGGCATGTTAGATGCAGGTTGAAACCAACCATGGTGACCACTGCTGTAGAGGATGTGTTGGCTTAATTTGACTGAGAGTATTCAGCCTTTGTATATGAATGTATGTGCTTTTTAAAAATATGAATTATTTACTGCTGAGTTACTGTGCTGGCAATGCAAGCTGGTAAGTCGGTTTTTAAAAAAATGTTCATGTATAAGACTCCACCATCTATAACTGCTGTAAATACCACTATTTCGGTAATTCTTAATAGGAGCTAGAAATTAAAATGAGATATAGAAGAAATATAGAAATGAAAGAGGTAAATAAGCAAGAGTAAGACGAAACAGATTCTTTTTCACTGTTATATCATGTTTTCTGTCTGTGCTCGACTCACACACCCCACCTAGTGTTCATACACAGAAATGACCAGAGAAGAAAAACACACTGGTACATCTAATTTGTGTCCAGCTCATTCTGTCACCACCACAAACAGCTTTTACAGTCTGAAAGATAATGTAACCGACTGTATTAATCATTTTGGCCCTTCAATGCAGGTTTTGATCTGATGGAGTACTTCAACGTGAGGGATGTTTTGGGAGAGAGAGCTGAGCCAGGCCAGAGCTCCTACGTGAGACTGGGAACCATGCCTATCGTTCAACAGACAGAGTGAGTGCAGCGCTGCTAACCACCATATAAACACAAACACTGTCCAGTCACTGTCAATGTGTAACAGGTGAAGTCATGCATTGTTTCTCCACGTTAGATGAAATTCACTCACTGTCCACTTTATCAGAAATTCTTAATTTGGTCATCTACATGAATTTGTATCCACATTAATAGTGTATAGTTGTAATGTACATGCTGTTTATTCACTGACCTCCTTATGAGCGCCACCTACATTATATAGGTCCTCTACACAGACGTATTACAGACTGTATCACACTTCTTGTTGCACAATGTATCAGCTCCCTTCTAGCCCATTCACCATTGTCCAGATATTATTTGAGTGTTGGTCCATTCTTAGCACAGCAGTGAAACTGATGTAGTGGTGCTCATGGAAGTGTTCATAGTGGTATTCTTGGTGGTGTTCATATTAGTGTTTATAGTGGTGTCAATGGTAGAATTCATGGTAGAGTTCACTGTGGTGTTTATAGTGGTGTTCATGGTAGAATTCATGGTAGAGTTCACTGTCGTGTTCATAGTAGTCTTCTTGGTGGTGTTCATGGTGGCGTTCATGGGGGAGTTCATGGTAGAATTCATGGTAGAGTTAATAGTGGTATTCTTGGTAGTGCTCATGGTGGTGTTCATGGTGGGGTCCATGGTGGTGTTCATGGTGGTATTCTTGGTGGTGTTCATATTAGTGTTTATAGTGGTGTTCATGGTAGTGTACATCGTGGTGTCAATGATAGAATTCATGGTACAGTTCATGGTGGTGTTCATAGTAGTATTCATGGTGGTGTTCATGGTGCTGTTTATGGTGGTGTCCATGGTGGTGTTCATGGTAGAGTTCATGGTAGAGTTCATGGTGGTGTCCATGGTGGTGTTCATGGTAGAGTTCATGGTAGAGTTCATGGTAGTGTTCATGGTGGTGTTCATGGTGGTGTTCATGGTAGAGTTCATGGTGGTGTTCATGGTGGTGTTCATGGTAGAGTTCATGGTGGTGTCCATGGTGGTGTTCATGGTGGTGTTCATGGTAGAGTTCATGGTAGAGTTCATGGTGGTGTTCATGGTGGTGTTCATGGTAGAGTTCATGGTAGAGTTCATGGTGCTGTTTATGGTGGTGTTCATGGTGCTGTTTATGGTGGTGTTTATGGTGGTGTTCATGGTGCTGTTTATGGTGGTGTTCATGGTAGAGTTCATGGTGGTGTTCATGGTGGTGTGTGTAGTGCTGGTATATCAGACACAGCAGGGTTGCTGGGTTTTCTACACACATCAGTGTCACTGCTAGGTTAAGAGTGGACCCCCACCCAAATTTATCCACACAAGAGCTGCTCTGAGGTCAGAAACTGACCACTGATGGAAGGACTAGAATACTGGTCTCCAATCCTGGTCCTGGAGAGCTACCATCCACCCACAATTTGCCACACCTCCTCCAGCTAATCAACCTCCTCCCAAGTCCTTGATTGGCTGGAGATAAGTAAGGGACAGAGCAGCTTATTGGATACAGGTTGGAACTAAACTCTGCAGGAAGGAAGTTCTCCAGGACCAGGACTGGAGACCACTGGACTAGAGGATGGAAAACACAAACTGTGCATCAACAAATGTGTTTTAGCCTCTATCTACCTACACACATACCTGCCTACCTATCATTAAAATCTTTTTCCTGTCTCTGTTATAGAGACGTGTTTCCGCAGGGCCTGCCAGACAAGTATGCCTTTGTTACCACATTCAAGTTCAGGAAGACGTCTCGAAGGGAAGACTGGTACTTGTGGCAGATCTATGATAAATACGGCATCCCTCAGGTGAGTAGCCTTCTTACTGAAATACAAGAGCGATAAGGCTTGTTTGACTTAACGTGGCACTGTGCAGACCTGCTGCCTCCCTGCTCGGTGCACTTCATGCCAGATCGACTTTTGTCTGACTTGCCTCAGCACCACTGGTGCCTGACGTTGACATACACTGTTATACTCTCGCAGGAGTGAGGTGGCTCGCCACGATACCTCAGACATGACTTGGTGGCAACAGGAGTTTAATCCTTGCTCAGATGTGTTATGTCCATGGTTCTTAAATTCACATGTGAACTTCAAATTTAGAAATGTTATATCTTATTTCGCTCAGCTCTTTTCTCAACTCTTCCCCACATGCAACCAGCTACTATTGCTGACTGCCAAGGCAAGACACAGTCCACCTCAAACAAGGCCGCAATCTTCACCTTTAGCAAAGGTCATACTCCCACAAGGATGTCAGGAGCAGTGTGTTGTCTGCTTCTGGTGAAATAATATATTACACAGGGTTCCTCCAGTCCTGGAGGGCCAGTGTCCGGCACAGTCCAGCAAATACATCTGATTACACTTATGTTAATTGATAGGTTTAGTGGGTGTGTTTAAGTAGGGAGACCTCTAAACTGTGCCTTCTAGGGCTGGAGTTGGGCACCCCTGATTTATTGAGTCATTGCATTAAGCCATCACATAACATTTTGGCACAAAGTTTAACTGGAAAGTCATGTAATATTTAAGAAATGTTGTATATATGAGGAATTGTTCTGAATTTAAAAAAAGTTTTCATAAAAAGAGAGGGTAACACTTCCTATGAGTCCTGTATTCATAATGCATTTCAAATGGTGTTATATGACATACATAATGCCTGGCATAAACGTGTGTAATTAAGTGGTTACATGCATAACCCTTTATAAAGCAAGAATATATGACTTTGTGAAATCGGATTTGATATCGCATTAAAACATCTGTTCATAAAAACATTGTAAACACTAATGTTATAATGCACTTTAACACAGGATTATTTTGGTATATTTTCTGCCTCACAATAGGCTGAGTACACTTCCAGTTACACATCTGTTGGATATCAGCATCATTTTAGTTACAAACAAATGAAAATATTGTGGTGTTTACTGCTGTTAAAGAAGTCATGGCTGATGCACGTCATTGTGCTTTATTAAAGGGCTGTAGTCGGCCACAGCCACGCCGTACACAAAGAGAGTTTGTCTAACAACTCGCTCTAAGCCTCGCTACGTCTTTCTACCTCTGCCGTCAGTGTTAGACTGACTAGTACAGAACACATCCAGAGAGCTAGCCCCATCTTCACAATAAGAGTCCTTCTAGAATAACCCAGCAAATAAATGCTGTAGAACTAATACTCCAAAATGAACATGATGAAACTTTGAACACTCTTCAATTTCACTATAGTGCTTAAATAATAATAAATAATAAATTGCTATTGTTATTAGTTTAGATGTCATCCATTCTCAAGCAGTGTGCATTTTTTTGGGCTACTATAAAAAGTTTCCATAGAAAGGCAAAAATTTGATTACAGTAGAAAAGGACTGAAGAGAATGATTCTAGTTCTGAATGGTTAATAATGGACAGGCAGGTTTGCTTATGACAAGTGTTATAAAGTGTCATGTATTGTATACACTTTATAAATGGGGCAGGGGGCAGTCATGGGCTGGAGGTTAGGGAACCAGGCTTGTGACCGGAAGGTTGCCGGTTCGATCCCCTCAGCTGACAGTATGTGACTGAAGTGCCCTTGAGCAAGGCACCTAACCCCCAGCTGCTCCGCAGGGCGCCGTGGATAGGACTGCCCCCTAGTGTGTGTGTGTTCACTAGTGTGTGGGTGTTTCACTGCACGGATGGGTTAAATGCGGAGGTCGAATTCCGATGTGTTCAGACACAGTTGGCTAAAAAAAAAGGTTCATTTCATTTCATAAATGTATTTACAATGGATTATGAATATAAGACTCATAGAAAGTGTTATAAAACATTTTTTTTCTTCACAAATCAAAGAGTTTTTTTCTGGCTTTGATCAGCTTTACTTTTTGAAACAGCTTTACACTTAGAAGTCTAGAGTTGTTTACTATCATTTTGCTATACCAATGAAGTTTAATTATGTAATTAATATGTAATCAATTACATTTACGTAGGATTCAAGTCCTGTTTTGAATCTGCTCGTAAAGCTAGTAAACAATCTTTTTCTTTCCACCAAACAAGACTGTATATCCAACAATAACTTTCCATTAAATTCATATCCTCTTCTACATGCAAACACAAATGTGGTATGGGTTGAAAGTTCAGAATCTGCACTTTTCACATCATTTCTCTGCTTGTTTAAATAAACTAAGAGTGAGAAATATGCATAAAGTGATGCCATGCTCTTGTGGTGATGACTGCAGCATCTAAAGGTTACAAATCTACAGAACAAGTAGCACAGAAAATCTTATCTGCTAGTTCAGAGGTTAAGTTCAGGACTTTGTTGAACTTCTCAGTACCTGCACACATTGTGGCCTTCACCAGACAAATGTCAGACTGTCAGGCGTATCTAATCTTTTCCACCAGGTATCTATTCGTCTGGACGGTGAGAATAAAGCCGTGGAGTACAATGCAGTGGGGCTGACCAAAGATGCAGTTCGAGCGGTCTTCCGCAACCCTGAGGTGGACAACCTGTTTGACCGAAACTGGCACAAGATCAGCCTGACCGTGGCCGCCAGGTCTGTGTCTCTTTATCTGGACTGCAAACACATCCAGACCCTTCCCATCGAAGACCGAGAGGACATCGACATCCAGGGCAAAACTGTTATTGGAAAGAGGCTGTACGATAGTGTCCCCATTGATGTGAGTTACTAAGAAAACTCAAGCTGCATAGTGCTGTTACTGTTCAATGAATACATGTGTAAACGCAATATATGTTTATTCAGTATATCATCTCTGTCAGATCATCACTCCATTTTTAAGCATTTACTTTTTTACGCCATTTAGAAATGGCCAATGACCTTTACATTTGCTAACATTTCATGATAATCGGATCAAAAGAAACTGTGTAGAATTTTTTAGTATAAGATATTATGCAATGCAAGCTGATAGTAGACAACAGTGGACAGAGGGCCGTACACTCATTGGTCACTTTATTATAAACCCTACCAGCTTGCTGGTGTACAATTAGAGACTATAGCTCATGTACAGTATGTGTTAGTCATCCTCTAGTCTTTCATCAGTGGTCAGTTTCTGACCAGAGAGCCACTCTTGTCTGGATATTTTTGGGTGGTGGTCGACTGATGTGACACTGACGTGTGTAAAAACCCAAGACACGATGCTTTCGTACCAGCACCACACATATTACAGTGAACACCACCATTAATGCTGATATGAACACCACCATGAACACCACCATGAACTCTACCATGAACACCACCATGAACACCACCATGAACTCTACCATGAACACCACCATGAACTCTACCATGAACACAACTAAAAAACACCATGAACACACCCCACATTAACATGATAATGAATGCCACTGTGAACTCTACCGGGTCAGCGTCACCGCGGTGCTGAGAAAGATCCGCTACCCAAATTATATGTAACATTTATTATTGAAACTGGATGTGGTCAGAATCACAACCTACATAGCATAGCCAGTGTACTAACTGGCCACGTCATTAGTACAACTTCCATTCAGTGCAGCCTGTAAACCTACTCCGTTAATGTGTACATGTAGATGCCGTAAACTGTAATATTGTGCTGAGTTACAGTATGTTTCGTATCTTTTTTCAACCCGTCTCAGCGTCTCCAGCTGGCTGAGGATTCCTGCTGCTCTTGTTTTGGCTGTAGAGTTTTGTTTCCATTCACCACGTGAGAGACGCTGGAGGAATGTAGAGGAAGTGTTGCTTCAAGTTTAGACTTTGTTAAGACAGCCTGCTTCCCTGTGTGTGTGTGTGTGTGTGTGTGTGTGTGTGTGTGTGTGTGTGTGTGTGTGCGTGTGTGAAACTCTTTCCTTCATAGTTTGACCTTCAGCGGATGGTGATCTACTGTGACTCCAAGCAGGCCGAGCAGGAGACGTGCTGTGACCTGCCCGGAGGCCCAGTGAGTGTCCATCTGTCTTTCTATCCATCTCGTTCTCTCTCTCTCTCTCTCTCTCTCTCTCTCTCTGTGTGTCTCACACACTCTTGCGCTGTAGTTCTGATTCTCTAAATGCATCTGCTACCTTGTCTGGTTACCACTCAGATAAGACATTCCTTCCATATCAACAAGTCAACTTTCAGTAAGACACAGCAAACAAATGAGCCCTTAATATAGTTTCAATCTGCACATAAATAGCATCTGTAATTTTACTGAGGCTGTAGCTAATCATGCAGGCTGTGGACAGGACCACCTTCTAACTGAGCTATTTATATGAGACTCAGTGAAATAGTTTGGGATAAAAGTTAATAAAAGAAGTTCTTTCCTACCAAAACACTATACAGAGGTGTAATTCTCCTTATATCACAGTTCATCTAACGATAAAGGAGTGCTTCTGCATCTTTTACACAGTGATAGACACACAGTAGCACTCAGACAGTGCAAATTCTACATGCTGCCATGTTTCACTCTGGCGAACGTGAACATGCACGTGCTATAACTCCTCTGGAGACACAGTTAAACGAGTTAAAGGGGCCGTCAACAAGTCAGAATGGACTGATCGCTTAGGCCTGGACAATATTGATGAAATTCCATATCATGATATTTTCAGAATCAATCACAAATATCAAATGAAATTCATTCATTTATATTCTAAGCTGCTTATCCTCCTGGGTCGCAGGGGGAGCTGGAGCCTATCCCAGCGCTCTCTGGGCGGAAGGCAGGAAACACCCTGGACAGGCCGCCAGTCCATCACAGGGCAGAAACACAGACATACACATTCACACACACTCACACACCTAGGGCTAATTTGGCCTGACTGCATGTCTTTGGACTGTGGGAGGAAAACATGCAAACTCTATACAGAAAGGTTGCCCGGCCGGGGAATCGAACCCGGGCCCGTTATGCCGTGCCGCCTGGATGATATTCACATTCTCATTAATAAAGTTAATAAGTTAGCATTAATAAATGTTTAGTGTTAATAAAGTTAATGAGCCCATGCTTCCTGAGTGCTGCTACTATATGCTAAAGACATTCCTCACAAACCTGATACAGCTTGTTTTGTTTGGACTGTTATTTTCTACTTTCCTATTTTAAAACTACAATCTGAAGCACCCACTAAATGACAGACATTGTGGTTAACCATAAAGTACTAGATTCAATGGGTAAAGTGCACGAAGTAGAATTAAAAAGCTAAAAAAAACATATTCATAACAGGATCATTGCTATTTTATGGGCATATGATGGAAATTAATCTCACTATCTATATAATATCACAAACGTGTTGTTAAATCTGAAAAGCAGCATTGCTGTAGGTCAATATCACGATATTTCAGTATAGGTGATACATCGCCCAGACATACTACTGCTAATTTATGTCTCCTTTTAAAAGGCAGAAAAAACATTAGTAAATCAAACAGATGCATTTCCAACATCTCCATTTATTTTCTGCACAATCCTCAAATGCATATCAGGACGAGAACTACATTTAGCGTTTTTCCACGTACTACATGTAAATTAGGCTTTCAGACTCGTACACCAGTTTCATCCCTAACACGCAGGCAGGACGTGTCCTGTTTGTGCCTCTCTCACCTTCAGTTCTTTCACTCTTAGTTTTAATGGGCCCTGAAAAATCGCCAAAGCAATTACAAGATGACAAGCAATCTAATAGTACCGATGGTAATTATACAATCTCAGTACAAATCAACAGCAAGTTGGTTCTGTTTGTCATCTTTTGATGTGCTGGTCTTTATGCTAATCGTGTCCGTGTACACGGACACACAGGAAATACCGACGTGTATAAACACCAGGAACAAACAAGCAAATTAGGATGAGATAAAAAGACTGAATTACCATAACGGAGATGGCACTGAGTCAGTTTGTTTATCTGTGTCCCTCAGGTTCTCCCTTTTTACAAGACGCGTCTATCTACTTGTCTCTCTCTACCTATTAGTCTCTCTCTCTCTCTCTCTCTCTCTCTCTCTCTCTCTCTCTCTTCCCAGATGGGTGTTGGAGCTTTAATTTAAAATTTTGATCATAATCCAAATACAGCCTGAGATCTTTCTGACTGGGTCCAGCCCGGCCCAAATCTAAATCGAGGCCGACAAAATTTTGTCATCAAGTTTTAATTCTTAAACTCGGATATGAAGAAATTCTGTCTGACCAAACCTGAACCACATCGGTCAAAGTGCAGAACAAATCCTGATAGTATAGCGATAGTTACAGTGTAGTGAACATAATAGGCGTCATTAGACTGTGGACATAAAAACTGAAATAAAACTATATGATATAATGTTTATAGTGTGTGAAATACCCCTGGTATTCAGTGGGGTCTCAGCACTGATGCTACCTTTTAATCGCCAAAAAGTGCTTCTTTAACAATTCCTCCTCTGGAATGGCTCTTTTTTAGTGTGGTTCTGCGCTCTTCAATACATGAACTGAGATCTTACTCATCTCCTCTTCTGTCTTCAGTGTGAGAAATGAGGAACAGTCACTCTTTACACCAAACTCTTGGGAAAATTGGGCAGGTTTCCCGATTTACAGATATGATACAGCATATAGTAAAGTTTTTCAGAGGTATTCCTGGCATAGTTACAGTTGCTGGGCTGTGAAGGACCAACTGGGTGAACCAGTTTGCTACAGCGCCACCCTGAGGCAGAGCAGTGCTGCAGCTCAGAAGCTCACTGATTGTGAAAGAAACAGGTTAAACAATGACAGCGTAACATCATACTGCATTTATTTTCAAGAAACCCCAGAATTTTGATTTTAAGATGTCCAAGAGTTTAATCAGGAGGTCCCAGATCCCCCAGTACCCCCTGTATCTCGCAGGAGGGTATGCAGACTGTAATATGAAGGGTTTGTTACATCCAAAATTGTTGTAAATGAATATGCAGCATTTCGGATTAAAAAAAAGGGAGGCGGGCTGTGAGACTCTGAACTGAGCCTGACACAAAAATGATGTTTGGAAAATGATGACTGGTCCCTCTCTAATGCTCTAATGGGTGTTTCTCTGTCTCTCTTACTCTGTTTCTCTCTTCCCCTTATAGTAACACTGTTTTAACCTCTCTCTCTCCTCAGTGTCCTAAGCAGCTGGTGACTGAGTCTCCCCCCACTGAGCTGGTGACTCCAACTCCCACCAGCGTAGAGCAGCAGGGAGGAGTTGAAGCAGTGAACTGCTCCTGCCCACCAGGGGAAAGGGTAAGACCCTAAAGGTCACAGGGTCACAGTTTTTAACTCCTATAAATGCATCATGCATTAAGGATATCCATCTGACTGAATGCAGAAACTGATTTAAAGGAAAACAAACATACAGTTTTGATATTTTCACACTCATCAAAGTCACGTGTGAGCAAAACACGCGCTGCAGCTCTGATGATGTAAATATTACAAGCGTATGTCAGTTTTTCAGCTGTATCTTCCTTTTTTACCTGCGATATTCTTCTCCTGACCTCTTTCTGTTTCCTGCAGCTCATCTCTCTCTCTCTCTCTCTTTCGCTGCTCTCCACAGGGTGAGACAGGCTTGCCTGGCGCTCAGGGCCCTAAGGGTGAAAAGGTCATAAAGCAGTCCTTAATTCAGTGTGTCGCTGATCATTTTACGATTGCTCTGTGTTTCTCTCTCGAGTGCTGAGTGTTTCCTCAACACTGTGCTGTAAACTGTACGTCCACAGGGAGACCCCGGCCTTAAGGGTGCTGCCGGACCGCAAGGACTGAAGGGACAGAAAGGAGAAGCTGTACGAAAAACAGATTTCTTTCTAACTCTCATGAGCTTGATTCACTTTGACCCCCAAAAACATAGACTATACTCAGTCAGTGATGCACGAAGAGCGGGGATCTCAAACTCAACAACTGAGAGCTAGTCACAGTCTTTTATGTTTTTTCACATGAAAGCTGATGTCACACTACAAGTTTGCAGTGTCTGTTTGTGAAATCAAGGCAGGACCAGATAATTGATGAAGGAAATTTGGTGCACTAAGCAATTTAGCTGTGACTTTAGCTGTGGCTCACAATATTGTGGTAGTCAGCTCTGCTGTTCACAGTAAAAAACACAAAATACAGCCAATTCATCTTCGAAACAAAGACTGTGTAAAAATTTGCAGGCAACTTTTTACACACTTTTAGAAATAAAGGTACTAAACTGTCACTGGAGCAGGACAACTCTTGTCACTGGGGTGGTTCCCTCAAGGGTCCATCTCAGTACCTTTAGTCAGGGAACATAACTGAACCATAATCCACTGAAATGATATGATCTAAGCTGTACTGACTCCACACACCCCGTCTCGCCTCCAGACTTATTATTTTACTGTTCTGTTTTAAATCATTCAGTTATGAAAAGGTACAAATACGAACTTTTCACCTGGAAAAACATATTTAAGGTTCACAGTCAGACCTTAAAACCACTGTTGTAGCTTTGGGGGAACATTTACATTGTTTCTACCTTGATGAATGAAAAATGTACCAGCACAGAACCTTTATTTCTAACTCTATAGATAGAAGTGTCAGGATTGTTCCAGTCAGCATTGACAGCTTCAAACAGCTGGAAAACACTGCTGAGCTAGTTTATGTTTAATGTGAGACCAAGTATTTTCTATAGGGTTTGAATCTGGACTGTGGCCAGGCCAACACCATTTTATTTTGGACTTGGCCTAGTTTTTTTCTAGGAGTGTACACCTAAATAGCAAAGAGGTCCTGACTAAATGTAGCTTTCTCATAGTAAAAGTGCCTCATTTTCTGCTTAAACATTCCTGAAATACACTCTGTCTTTCCCTGCCTATTTTAGGGCAGTGCATTTTGGTCACTTCAGCAGACCAGAGTAAAAGATGTTATCCATCTAGCTCGCTATCCTTTTGACATGTATTTAACCCATTTTGCAAGTGACCGTGGTTTTGAACTCTAAATTGCAGTCAGACTATAGCAAGTTTCAGTAACAGTGCAGGGTACTGTTCATAAGGCTACATAACACCTGCATAAGCTTGTCATGACAACTGACATAAATGTTTATAAATGCTTATTCCAATAGGCAGTGTTTGCTATAATGGTTATATATGCCAATTTCGTTCAGTTAGCTAAAGTAGCCATTATGACAGAAGATGCATATTGGAATAAGTTTATATAAACATTTATGTAGGGTTATGTCAGTTGTCATGACAAGCTTATGTAGGTGTTATGTAGCTATATGAACAGTACCCTACTGTAAAGCGTTACCCAAGTTTCTCTTGTCTGTCATGAAACACTGATAGGCTGTAGTGTAATGTACAGGAGCCAAAAGGCTCTGAGAGGTGTCTAAATCATCGTCCTTTACATTGCTAACTGATTCAAATAGGAACTCTTTTTTTATTGGAAATGAAACAAAATTATTAGTATTATTTTTTTTAACCACAGCATTGGTCAAACAGTTACTTATTCCCATATATAATTACTTATATCCATTAATCATTTACATCCCCATTCTGTATGGATCTAGCTGAATATGTAACTGTACCTTTACTTTTAGGCCATACAATATAAAAAAATCTTTCATTTCTCGAATTTTTGCTCAGGAAAGGAACTAAGGGAAAAAAAAGATTCGGATATGGATGTTTATAGCTAACTCTTCCATGCAAGCACTGTTTTTCCTGCTCCAACACGCATCAGGTGGCGCTGGTTTGCCAGTGTGTGGACAACACAAAATATACAGTGTGTTCCATCGTCAGGATAGAAATGCTGTGAGCACTCAGGCCTCCAGAGCCACTAGAAAAACAATGCTGCAGGGCTAGTCAGTCTTTTAGTGCCGCAGAGAAAATCGGCCGTGTAACTTTAGTGTGACTTCGAATCGTGGCTGCGAATCGTGGGCCTCATTCCTCCCTTTCATCAGACTCCACAGTTAAGCCCTTAATGCTTTCGCTTTGTCACCGAGCTGATCTAAATGCCATCCGATAGCTGGGATTCTGTTCACGGACGAGCCGGCGTTAATGAGCGAGCTCTTCAGACAGAGCCTCTGGATAGACAGGCCAGGCGGACTGAATAGCTGGCAATCTTTCCCCTCATCACAGAGTTTCAGTTAATTGCGTTTATGTTAATTGCAGGTATGTTGAAAATGTCTAGAGCTTTTCACATCTCCATACATTTGCATATGCAGATTGTTTCAGTGGTAGGGCTTTGGTGTTGCTCTTAGTTTATATCCAATATTTATCTACTGTCGGTCCATTTTATAGAGGCGCATTGCGGATGTATTCATTAATTGTCTTTTTTTCTCCTGTGTTGTGACTTTGTGATCCCTGCTCTACAGTGTTAAAATCCCTGGTTAATCATGTATAGCTTTCCACAAAGTAAAGGTCACTGCGGCCTCTCACATTACAGCTGTGGATATAGTGTACCTTAGAGGGGAATTCCACTGATCTTTCAAAATTTCTGCCCGACTCAATTGTTGAGATGTAAACAAAGTCATTCAGATTGGTTTGATGTGAGATTGAGTTCGTTGTACTGGCTTCTTTACAGTGGTGGTGACAGGAACCAGGGGTCGCAACACAAACATAGCCATTTTATTTACTATCCAAAACTGCCATCCAAACCTATACATGTCTTTTGAGCTTTATATGTAACGGTAATGATGGTAAAATAGTGATATATCTGAAAAATATATGTTTTTGGGGTCTAATTTGCCTCATAACGCTCTGCATGTACCCCTCCGCCATAAATAGACTTTAAACTTATGTTTTAAGCCAAATCTTAAAACAATGTCTCAGACAACAGGAAGCATATCTGTGCCAATGTCTTGTAATACGTTTCTGTGAGGGAGCTTTTAGAGGTGGACGTCTGGTTCCTATCACCACCACTGTGAACAGTTCTGAGTCTGTAAGTTTCTCTAGAACAGAGTATTTAACACCAAACCACTCTGAATGACTCTGTTTAAATCTTACCTGTTTAATTATGTATATATTTTGAGAAATTTCCTTTTAAAGGAAATCTAATTTACACAGTTTCCCTGTTATCTCAGATGCAGTTGACAATTTAGGACATATTCAGTGTCTGAAGTTTGCTTCTTTAGTGCTCCCTTAAAAAATGAAGGGTAACACTTTACTACACTTTCCTACAGTACTGTAGGGTACTGTTCATGACATCTAAATAATCTTGTCATGACAACTGACATAACCTGACATTAATGTTTATAAACGTTTATTTCAGTAAGAGTCATGTCATAAAGACTACTTGGTAACACTTTCTATGAATGTCACGTTGGTAAGCATCTATAAACACATTTATAACATGTTATAATGCCTTCATATGGCATTATAAACATGATTATAAACATTTATAAAATGAATTACACTGGACTACACTTTATAGCCATGTTTATTATACATTATGAATTGTTAATATAATGCATTATAAATAGTGTTAATAACATGTTATACTGTCAGTGCCAAAGAAGTCAGTCCCAGCTTGGAGAGCGTAAAGTAAAGACAAATACCAAGCTAACGGTGGTGTACATTACCTTTCCCACATTGGGTAAAACACTGATGGCAGCTCTAGTTTAAACTCTGATATTTGAAGCCTGTAATGTGCTTTATTATGTATGTTTTAGTGTTTCAGTAAATCCTTCAGTAAATACTTCAACTTGAAGCCTCACTCTTAACACTGGAGGAGGCTTTAGTACAGTACGCTTCACTTTACTTAGAGCGGACAAATACCACTTATGAGCTCTTATAATTTGTTATGATCGGTACTTATAATGTATTATGTTAACAATCCATAATGCATAATAAGCATGGCTATAACGTATAATGCATTTTTATAAATATTTATAGCCAAGTTTATAATGTCTTATGAATGCATTATAACATGTTATGAATGTGTTTATAGATGCTTACAAAGGTGACATTCATAGAAAGTGTCACCGACTACTTTAGCTAGCTTTGATCGAAACTGGCAAATGCAACCTTTAAGCAAATTTCAGCTATTGGAATAAGCATTTATAAACATTTATGTAGGTTTATGTCAGTTGTCATGACAAGCTTATGTACGTGTCATAAAGCCGTATGACCAGTACCCTACTGTAAAGTGTTACCAAAAGACGTTTACTCAAGTGTAATATATATATATAGTACAAAGAAGTATTAAAATAGTACACTATTAGTACAGTATACTTACTACATAAAGTATACTTGGTAAATTTACTTGAGCATTACTTAAGTTTACTAATAAAATGAACTTTAAGCATACTTTGTTTTTGTAAGGGTTTGCAGTGGAGCTACGAAGCTAGCATGGCTAACAAGTGATGGAAGATTAAGTACGCAAATTAGCATCACGCTAACTCCTAAATCATCACACGCTTCCCTCAAACCGTTTAGAGGTGTTCAGCATCTCTAACAGACTTGATTATGTGGTTTCTGACCCTGTATGACACACTGTTATCTATAAACATGGACAGCTGGCTTTTATCAAGAGTTTAATCAAGATTATTTACCAGTTCTGTGAGGTAAGTGTGTGATGATTAAGCATAAAGGGTGCAGATGCTAACTGGTTGTGTGTAAGCTTCCATAACATGTTAGCTACATTAGCCTCGTAGCTCCAGTGTAAAATTAAGAAGAAAACTTCAGACTCCAGACGTGTCATAGCTGATGGACTACATTTGAGGTAAAGGGGGATAAACTGTAAATATGTGTAAATACATTTCACCAAATGATCCCTCTAAGATTCACATAATTGAACTGAAAACTACAAAACTCTTTATAACTGCAGGTATAAAGTTCATGCTAAAGATGCTGTACGTTTCCTTTTCTACCTGTGCTGCTTCTCTCTTGTGCTCTCGTGCCTCGAGAATAATCGATCCATGTCGATTGATTATTTGCAGGGCAAGGCGGTCTCTATCAAAGGCGATAGAGGCGAGAAGGTAAGATCATGGATTAACCAGCCGAACTCCTCAGTCTGGCCTGAAACACGGCATGCTGTGTCGATGGGAATGCAGTGCAGTGTGTAGTCTCTCTCTCTCTCTGTGTTTATCTGTGTGTCGTTTTTGTCTGTTTGTCTTGACACTGTTAGAATTTAAATTCAGAGATGGTTTAGGGAGATTGTTGTCTCAGATCAGGGACTGATGATGCGCAGTATAGAAGGTATCAATCATGACTGTGGTGTTGGCATTAGCAATATGCTAATGAAACTGTCAAGGCTTGCAGTATGTAACATACTTGTGGATGTTTGAATGAATCAAGGCATTCAGTTCAACCAACAAACAACATTTATTTGTATAGCGCTTTTTACAACTAGTGCTGTCTCAAAGCAGCTTTACAGAAAAGCAGTTAATGGAAGGATCAAAAGAATAAAAGAGCAAATAAAAAGAAAATGACAGTATATGTGGTAAAAATAATGCAGGCTAGTCTTTAAACCTGTCAAATTAATGAGTCACCATTGCTTTTAATATATTGCAAGGCATGTCACAGTTATAATATGCAGTACTGTACAGAAGTCAGAGACAATTTTGTATTAATTTCCAGTCAAAATGGCCTTTAAGTACAAGTTATTCACTTCTCAGGAGATTAGATATAAGATAATCCACTTGCATAAATAAGGGGAAAATCACAAGTGCAAAAACAGGAGTTTCCAAAACTGAACTCATTAAAAGCTACAGAGAAAACAGGGCTCCTAACAACCACCTGGAAGACCTGGTAGACACCAACACTGCCCCCATCAGATAAACAGCACTTACAGGAGAAAATCAAGCTGCTTCAGATCTGAAAACATCCACAGGTGTTTCTGTCCATCCTTCCACTGTGAGGAGACGACTCAGCGCTGTGGGTCTGAAAGGATGTGTAGCTGTCAAGAAGAACCTCACTGAGAAAAGGAGACGGACACATCAAACAAAGAAGCTGAACAATGGACTGACCACCCCAGAGTCCAGACCTCAACATCACTGAATGGGTTTGATTACTTCAGAAAATCATGAACCAACTTCTAAGACTGAACTTTGGAGGTGTGAAAAATATCCCTGCAGGTTTCTTTGAGAAACTGAAAGTGAGTCTCCTGAAAAGGATGGAAGCTGGAATGAAGGTAAAGAGTGACACACTAAACACTGAAAAATGTGATATTTCTGTGGGTAACTAGCTGGGTCCAGAAACAGTGGGAAAAATATTTTTGGTAACACTTTCTATGAATGTCACCTTTGTAAGCATCTATAAACACATTTATAACATGTTATAATGTATTCATAAGGCATTATAAACATGGTTATAAATATTTATAAAAAAGAATTACACTGAATTACACTTTATAGCCATGTTTATTACACATTATGAATTGTTAATACAATGCATTATAAATAGTGTTAATAACATGTTATACTGTCACTGCCAAAGAAGTCAGTCCCAGCTTGGAGAGCGTAAAGTAAAGACAAATACCAAGCTAACGGTGGTGTACATTACAAAGGTGACATTCATAGAAAGTGTTACCAAAAATGTTATATATCTAGTTTTTGAGTTTTTTTTCCTGATACTGAAAAATGAATAACTTGTACCTAACAGCTACTTTGACAGGAAATAAAAGGATGAGGGATGATCTCTAATATCTATTCAGCACTGTGCAGCATATAATCACAATATAGTGCCTTGTCTGTATCATCCAGCCCTTGATATAATGCACCTAAAGCTAAAGCACCAGGTTAACAGACCAGAAATAGCCCTGTTTTTGTTCTTAATGGAGATTTACTGCCAGTGGAGATATAAGTTTTAAGAGCAAGCCTATGTGTATGTATGTGTGTATGTATAAAATGTGTGTGTGTGTGTGTGTGTGAGTAGTCTAATAGCTCCATGCTTCACAGGTCACTCTAATAGTTTGGCCCTGAGGGGAGACGATAATCTATGTAGTAAATCAGCTCTTCTGTTTCAGCACGCTGAGAGCGAGCGTGTCCTGAAACTAGACTAGCTGCTGTGTAATATGGGCAGAAGAACCTAAAAAAGCCTTCATATTTTAGATGCCAGAATTATGGGAGTGCTGACCACAAGGGTGTTCGAGCCGAGAGCCGAACTGCCACCCACGCCAAGGCGCACACACATACGGTCCTGCTGGGGAGAGAAGGGAGGGAGCAGTAGGCCGAACATCTGTCTCGAAAACCCATCAGAATGAGCCTGTTAAGAAAATATGGTGTAATTGTTTGGTCACCCAGCCTCTCTAACAAGATTCACCGTATTCTAGAGCAGGGGTCGCAACCCAAATGTCAAGAAGAGCCATTTTGTCTTTTCAACAAATATCAAACCACTTTGGGAGCCACAATATTTTATGTCCATTTACCATCTTGGCTATAAATATGTCTCAGTATGTGCTGATGTTCTAGTATAGGCTAAAAATATAAACAAAAGCACAGACATACTTTGCTCTGCTTTAAGTTGTAGCTCAGCTATAGATGCTTTCCTCACATCTCTAGCAGGACACTTTTCCACAAATGTAGAACAGTTTCTCATAAAATCTCTCTCTTTTTATGAGTCTAAAGTCAGCTTCTCTTTCATCAGCTTCTCGTTTGGATTTCCCATTCCACCTTAAATGGTGCCAGAATGCAACTGCTACACCATTTAAGGTGGAACTGGAAAATTCGAAAGAGAAACTGGCGAATGAGAAACTGACTTCAGCCTTGTGACGTTTTAGTGTTTGACAGTTTCTCGTTGCAGATTAAACGTATCAGGAAACCAGCTGGAGTGATTATAAACGCAAATGAGTCCATTCGTCTCCAAATTATCGATGTTCGTCTTAAATCTCTCTCTTTGCCATTTCATTAGCTACCTAGGCAAGATTGTGTTGCTATGGTGACCAGCAGTCTGCGCGCCAACCTTCAGGGTTAAAGGGTGAATCAGCAGTTCTACATTAACTCCAGCATTTAAGACCATTTATTGTTAAAACTGTGTTAAAACGATCAGCAGAGCTTTATTTTACTGCAAAGGAAGTTTCTTTTATTTTTACCTAATAATTCTAATTCTGCTGTGGAGCTGCAACGTGGAAGCAGTGGAACCGCATGTTGTCGACCCCTGTTCTTGAGTTTCCACACCTGGTCCAGCACTCCGAGGGCGATGTCCAAAACTATGCCCTATTCGCTGTATAGTTCACTATTTTGGGAGCGTAGTGTCGTCTGAAAACAGCGCACTCTTACAATCCCACACTGCACCACAATAACTCACTGTGGGCATCATACTGCCTTTTCACAGTCTGTCAATACCTACAACACTTGCTTTTGCCATGTTAAAGGTTCACTGGCCAATATTTAAAATTCAGAAGGTATCCAGAATGTAAAGTGCATTAGACAGTATTCTGGCTATTTTCATATATTTCCACATGTATTTCATAAACACATTCACAACCATATATACCATATATACCAACAGTGCACCTGGAATTGCATGCAGTCCAGTCAAATCTGAATGTGATTCGATCATTAAAAACACATGCACGCAAGTGTGAACAGGCAAGATTCGGTGATGCTTCACAGGTCTCTGAGGAAGCCTGTGCTGGCCTTCACCCTCCTAACGCTGGTGGTATCGTGTGACTGGGGGAGTCCTGACTAGAGGGTGGAATTTTGAGATGACTAAATTGGGGGAAAAAATCCCCAAAAATCTAACACTTTACAAATAACTTTAATGGTAATGATAATAAGAAACAGTGGTTTCTGTTTTGTTTTGCTCTGCCGCGCTGGTCAGCATAGATGCGAAGACAACTTGAGCCGCAGCAGATCAACAGTGAAAATGCTGGCCGTGTGGATCTATTTCACGGTTTCTGTGAGGGACATTAGACAACCGAACTGTAATTACTGATCATGCTGAGTATCAAGAGAGGATACAACACCTAAAAACATATACATTGCAGATACCACTACAGATACCTGACAGGTGATACCACTTGAAAACACAACACCCTGCATGACATGCAGAACAGTGCAAAACAGCAGAAGCTGACAGGATGGTCCTTGTGAGTATAGCGCCATCTACAGCCACAGTTCTTAAAAAGACAAACAATGTACAAACAACGGCCAAAGCAGAAGACATAACTAAAAAATAACAGCGCTCATTGCTTTGGATGACCAATTGTTTTCTGCTGTTGAGGATGCTGGATTGCTGGATTTCACACTGTAGTCTTCATTCTGTAAAACATCAGTAAGTTTATGTTTTTAGCTTGTTAGCTTTTTTGGTTTCGGTTTTCTGCCTGGTGAGACCTGAATTTTGGTGGTTATTAGGGACCATTTATGATAATGTCCTAGCACTTCTCATTTCCTAACATTGTGAGTAGTACTTAGGGGTCTTTTTTGTTCCTTATAGTAGAGTTTTCGGTAACACTTTCTATGAATGTCGCATTTGTAAGCATCTATAAACACATTTATAACATATTATAATGCATTCATAAAACATGGTTATAAATATTCTTAAAAAAGAATTACACTGAATTACACTTTATAGCCATGTTTATTATACATTATGAATTGTTAATATAATGCATTATAAATAGTGTTAATAACATGTTATAATGTCAGTGCCAAAGAAGTCAGTCCCAGCTTGGAGAGCGTAAAGTAAAGACAAATACCAAGCTAACGGTGGGGTACATTACCTTTCCCACATTGGGTAAAACACTGATGGCAGCTCTAGTTTAAACTCTGACATTTGAAGCCTGTAATGTGCTTTATTGTGAATGTTTTAGTGTTTCAGTAAATCCTTCAGTAAATACTTCAACTTGAAGCCTCACTCTGAACACTGGAGGAGGCTTTAGTACAGTACGCTTCACTTTACTTAGAGCGGACAAATACCACTTATGAGCTCTTATAATTTGTTGTGATCAGTACTTATAATGTATTATGTTAACAATTCATAATGCATAATAAACATGGCTATAACGTATAATGCATTTTCATCAATACTTATAGCCATGTTTATGATGGCTTATGAATGCATTATAACATGCTATGAATGTGTTTATAGATGCTTACAAAGGTGACATTCATAGAAAGTGTTACCGAGTTCGCCATAGTGCTTTGCATTTCTATTGTAGTGATTAAAGGGACCATTTCCAACACAGCTGAGGGCTTCTGGAGACGGTGATCAGTGGGGTTAGGTGTCATGGATCAGGGTTGGACCTGAACTTAGGCAGTTAGTGAAGCTTAACATGGTGCAAAGTGCATTATTGTTTAGTTGTGCCTACAGTGCTGCTACAACCCGGTGATCATTTTGAGACTTCCGCTCTTTGTCCATTTTTAGGCCCCAGCAGACGCCCTCAGCTGGAAAAATGTCCTCCTTGTATGCAGAATCTGTTGTTGGCATTTCCTGAGAGGGAACTTAGATACAGCAAATACTTAGTCCCATACAGTCTAGGCTCTAACTGTGTCTTCTCATAGGCCTGTGCTTTACTCTGTATGAATGCCTGTATGTCCGGTTTATGTTGTGTTGGTTTTTGTATGAATTAAAACAGGCTGATGATTGTCATTCTGAGGGGTTTGCTGGTCAAACTGCATGAAGCCACAAACGCATGTGTGTTTGAGGTGCTTTTCTGTGTCTATTTCTCTGCTTTCTCAAATGCTTCCATCCAAAAATGTTAACGTCTAACAAACAACAAAAACTACAAGGAAGTTACTATGTCCTCTTATAGAATGATATCTGACCACTACGAGATCATCTGTCACTAGCATTTTGGTGTGAAGTGTCCCATTAATGATGTCTGTCTGCTAATGCCTGCCTGTGTTGATGTCTATTCTACTGTTTTTATGCTCCTCAAGTGAAATATGTTTGTTCTATGTTCATTATTGCACAATGAGATTCGTCTTTGGTAATATTTTGGTGTGAGAAACCGTAAACAGATCATATTTTTGGTTGTAATAACTGTTCCTGTTAAAATATGATATGAATTATCCTTGAGTTTACTGCCAAGGATAAAAGTGCCACATCACTGAATAAATGACAGCCGCAGACATTCAGTATGAGTAGGCCTGTGATGTAGATGTCATGGCATCAAAGTGACTTAATTACAGGCCTGCAAACAAGACTGTTGCTCAGTTCCAGTCAAGAAAGCCATAACATTTTGGTTTTGTGTTGGTTTTTCACTGATGTGAAGTCTGTGAGAGTCACTGGAGGATAGTGCACTAAACTATAGGCACATAAAGCAGGTCTGTTGGAATTAGGGACCATATTAAACTAATTATAAACAGTACATGATGGGTACCAATCAGCTGCTGTTTGCAAGTCAGCAGTTCTCTTGTTTTACCAATTATAAGAGACCAGTATAACTGGTTACAATTTACAAAAAAAGCTGACTAACTAACATTAAGTTAACATGAAGGACACATGAGGTATTACATTAATATTGATAGGCTAATATCAAGTGAACAAGTAAAAACAGGATTAGTTAATGTTGTTTTCACATGAAGTGTCGACTAACATGAAGTAATGTATTTCTTCACATTTATGCACAAAGTAGAATCACAAAATTGGCCACAGATTATTTTCTGTTTGACAAAAAGAGCTCAAATTTAGCATCAATGCCACTTAGTAGGACTGCCTATCCAACCAGTGTTTGAAAATTTGAATCACCCTTATATATTACATATAAAATTAATATCAATCAGTCAATCAACTTTTATTTTCAGATGGAAATACATTGAGGGTAAAGCTGAACATTTACAACATTAAAGTGATTGAAAAAGGAATAAAAAGGAATCATGTTAAACGAAAATTAACAAAGTTACATAAACAAGCTAACAGGAAAACCAGACAAGAAAAACAGCAAAATTATTAAGAGAACAATTATGATTTGATTAAAAAAGAAGAAATATACAATAAAGCCAAGATAGTAAACCAATTAATAAGATTTTAACATAAAATGATAAATAAGCAAACTAAAGTAAAAATAAAAAACTAAATAAACTAAAGTAAATAAAAAATGTAATTAAATAAAAAGGAAAAGGGAAAAGTTAAACTCAACTAAACCAGTTACAGGCTGACTCAAGGTGGTATATGTTAATAATATATACAATCAATAATATACAAAAATGATGAAATTGTGATAAGCAGAACATTTATTTTTGAAATAAATTATATAAATATGTCAAATGTATTTTTATCTTTACCCTCATTACATGAAAGGCTAAAAAAGTACAATAAGAAAGTCAGACACTGCAGAAAAACCTGATCAATTTCAGTTTTATTTTCAGATTTGTGCTCAGTGGAGCTCTAAGATCCGCTGCAGTAAAGAGAAACATACATTAATAATGCTGAGTTAATATTAAACAGATCACATTTGCATTCATTCATATTTTTTCACTTCTTTGTTCATTTACTGCATAGATAAACTAAGATTCAATAAGCGATTGTTAAGTTATAACTTGATTGGCTGTGATAACACTTAAGCAGGAGCGAGTGGTAACTACTTACAGTTACTCAGTTCCTTGTTTCTCAAGCAAAAGTCTGATGGATTTGTACTTTGTACTGAGAATTTGTTTAATCGGTTTAGTTCATAATCCTCTTTTTGGGTTTCATTTCATTATGATTGTGTTGGTTCAGCTCTGGTTCTGCTTTTACTGTTGATCACATCTCTTACTTCGGAGCTTTAGTGTTTTATTTTACATCAAAAGACCCACAAAGAGACCAGTTCAGTAACAAACTTTAGTTCATATTGATATGAATTAATACAATTATTTGTTTACTGATTACCAACATAGCAGCTTGTACATTTCAATAAACAAAGTTAATCAACAAAGTGAAAACAGCATTAACTAATGCAATTGTTATTTGTTAACATTAGCTAAGCAATATTAATGTAGTACCTCATGTGTTGTTCATAAACAGAGGCATTATTTAATGTTAGTCAACACTTTTTTAAAGTATAATTGACCCATTTTAACAAACAGGCAGTAAAATTAATTTTTTATCCCTTAAAATCTCAGGCTTACTACATATTAAGGCTTATTATTCAGTAACTACAGTGACTTCAAACTGGTTGAGCTATTCATAGGTTATAAGTGTGTAATAAAACTTCGGGCCTGCTGGTGGGCCCTGGCCATTTCAGGACATAAGCAATCTAATATGCAGACAGATTCAGATACAAGGAACATGCCTACATCTTTCACGCTGGCTTCCCACATCCAGTGTTGTGCAGCAGCCATGTTTAAGTTCCTTCTTTGTCCACAGGGAGACAGAGGAGACAGCGGTCAACCTGGGACCAGAGGTGACAAGGGCGAGAGAGTAAGAAACACCTGCAAACAGTGTCCAACTCAACGCAACCCAAAAGCACTGTATATTGCAACAATGAGGGTTGTTCTGTTGCTACAAGCTTGACATCAGAACCATAACAGAACCCTTTTTGGTGCTATGTAGAAACATTTTTTAAAAAGTTTTTTTTATATAGAACCAAATACAGCACACTCAGTCTGAAGAACCATCTCACAATGCAGAGAACCATTTGGCATGCAAATGGTTGTATATAGAACTCATGTTTCTAAATGGAACAATTGTTTTTATTAAAGAATCCTTGAAGAACCATCTTTTTTGAGTGTGTGAGAACATCTCTTACTTGTTCTACTCTAATATATTTTTACTTTTGTCTAAATTGAGAAATATCACTTGAAATTTGCCATAATTTCCTATGCAGTGTTTATAGATTGGAGCTCAGTGTAAGTAGCACTCTTAAACATTATGGTCCTTTAAGGGTTCTTTGGTAAGGAAAATGATTCTATAAAGAACGATGAACACTTAAAGAACCCTGTGCGTGATTGAAGGGTTCTTTGCATCATGAAAAAATTCTTCAGAAATGTGCTGTAGATGTAGAAAATGGTTTTGAAAACGATTCTATTTAGCACCCAAAAGAGTTCTTCTATCTTTATGATGTTGAATATATGAAGTTTATAACAAATAGAAGAACCCTTTTGGGTGCTATGTAGAACCCTCTTCAAAAAAGGTCCTATATAGATCCATCTACAGCTGTCCATCAATCCGATGAACCCTTTTATGATGCAAAGAACCCTTTATTCACACAGAGGGTTCTTTGAGTGTTCATGGTTCTATATAGAACCATTTTTTTTTACTAAAGAACCCTTGAAGAACCATCTTTTTAAGAGTGTAGATGATGTGCTTTGCAGGGATTTGCTGGCTTGCCAGGGCTTGGGGGCAAACAAGGAGACAAAGGCGAACAGGTGAGCAGCTTATACTCGCATTGTACTTCGCTTCATGCACTTCTCTGTTTGTTTGTTTGAAAACATTAAGAACAATGTTGTATTTGTGTTCATCTGTGTTTCAGGGTCTAACTGGGCCTACTGGACCTGCTGGTGTGCCTGGTCCTCTGGGACCACAGGTGAGGTTCAAGAAATTTTAGTATACCAGACATGCTACAGGCCCTGTCAGACTGTATCTGTAACCTCAAATGGCAAGAAATGAATCCTTAAAGTCAATTTAAATCAGATATCATAACGTATAACACTATCTCATCAGTGCCATAGGTAGGTGGGGTAGGAGGGAGAAGTGAAAAATAAAATTATTGGTTAATATTGTGTTTCTCCACCCAGTGGTGCACTGTGATTTATCAGAAATCAGAAGATACTTTGACAGACAATCATAGGAACATGATGGCTGGCTTATCCCACGTGAGGACTGAACTGCCAATCCCCACATCAGATACCCAGCAAGCTATGGGATAAGCCACCAAAACAGCCTTGCTAAGCAACAACAGCAATGCTGAGGAAAGCCTCACAGAAGAGTTGATAAACTAAAGGGGGAGAGCTAAGGCCAAACAAAAGAAATGCCAGAGCAGCATCTTCAAACAAAAGAGAGGTTTCTGAAAACAAAAGGGGAAAGCAGTCAACAAAAAAGGACACTCAAAGTGTTTTTTGTTGCGTGTGTTATGCATACACTGAAAGATGACTCAAGAAAATAGCGCTCAAGACTCAAGACAGAAACCAATTCCAAAGTTACTGGCTTAGTCAGAGATACATGCTTATGGCAACATGAACTCAAGACTGAGTGGTGAACTGTGGGAGAACTCTCCTTAAGTAGAGCTCCCACTGCTGCACCCGATCAGCCCTAATCAGGAAAGAACTTTGTCTTTTAAATTGTATGTATCACATTTAAAATGTCCAGGAACTTGACCTAGCAAGGTAGAAAATGTCCATTTTAATGTCAGTTTTACTTGAATGAGAAGAAAGGCCTGTTTGAATCTTACCTGTCTTACTCTTATCACTCTTGAAAAAGCGTTACAAATTAAGGACCAAAGATGTGATCAAAATATCACTATAGGGCCAAAAGTATGTGGACACCTGACCATCAAACGTGCATTTACCAAATACACAGGCATTCATGTGGACATGACCCCACTTTGTGGCTATAACAGCCTCCACTCTTGTGGGAAGGCTTTCCACAAGATTTTAAAGTGTGCCTGGGAATTTGTGCCCTTTCAGTCAAGAGATGATGGATGAGATGGCCTGGCTTGCAAGCAACATTCCAGTTCATCCCAAAAGTGTTCAGTGGGGTTGAGGTCAGGGCTCTGTGCAGGCTACTGGAGTTCCTCCACACCATATTCATCAAACTATGTCTTTATGGGCCTCGCTTTTTGCACAGGAGCATAGTCATCCTGGAACAGGAAAGGGTCTTCCCCAGACTGTTACCACAAAGTTGGAGGCATGTAATTGTCTAAAATGTCTTTGTATGGTGTATTAATAGCATTACCCTTTACTGGAACTAACGGGCCCAAAACCCTGAAAAACAGCCCCAGCCCATTATCTCTTCTCCACCAAACTTTACTGTTGGCACGATGCATTCTGGCAGGTAGCGTTCTCCTGGCATCTGGCAAATCTAGATTGCCAGAAGGCGAGACATGATTCATCACTCCAGAGAACATGCTTCCACTGCTTCAGAATCCAGTGGCGCACGTTTTAGGCCACTCCAGCCAACACTTGGCATTGCACATAATGATCTTGGGCTTGTGTGCAGCTGCTTGGCCATGGAAACCCAATCAAAGGACAAAGAAAGCACAGATAATTTACTACACAACAGTCCAAAGAAGTGCAGTACATGCTTCAAGGCTGAGCTGTTGTCGCTCCTAGATGCTTCTGTTCCACAATAACAGCACTTACAGTTGACTAGGGCAGATCTAGTCGAGCAGAAATTTCTGACTTGTGGCAAAGGTAGTAGTCACTAAGCTCTTCAAAATGACTCTGTATGTTTGTCTAAGGAGATTGCATGGCTGTGTGTTTGATTTTATACAGCTATGAGCAATGGGTGTGGCTGAAACACCTGGACTGAGTAATTACAGGGGGTGTTTAGACAATATAGCATATTAATACTTATGCCATCTTTAATAGAAATTGACCATTTCTTGCTGTTTTCCTTTTGTAGGGAGCCCAAGGTGAAGCAGGACTCCCTGGAGCTCCTGGTCCGAAAGGCGTTTCTGTAAGTGAAAACTGCATAATTGTTACTGTCTGAAACTTCTCCTACAGTCTACTGACACGGTTAATATGTCAAATGATCGATCTTTACAACCAAGTCCTCCAGCTTCCACTTGTTTTGTCTGAATTCCATTCCATTGATTTTTGTGAGCTGTGCAAGATAATCATCTGTCTACAAATTATATAAAAATTGCAATCATCGGGGTCCAAGCACCCCATACCATTTATGAGCAAGTAGAACAACAAATGATGGGCAAAGTGGCCTCCATTACAAATATTTTTGGGGTCTCAAGAGAAGATGTCTGCCAGATTTCTTACACATTTAACTTTTAACTGTGGTATGGTAAGAAATACATTTTTAACAAATAAAGTCAAAAACCTAGAAAACGGTACATGGGCAAAAGTGTTAAGCACATGTTCAAGTCACAAAATTGTTCTTCTAGGAACAAACCCCACCACAGAGGATTGGTTGTGAATTTAACTCAGTTTAATGTTTAACTATGTATGTGTGTTTTTGTCATTAGGGTGATCCTGGCAAAAAAGGAGAGAAAGGAGCAGCAGGAGAGCAGGTAAGCACTTAACTCTGTTCGTCAAATTCTAGTGCTTCAGTAAGACAACAGCAACATGCGTTAACATGTGTGCATGCTTGCAAATATGTGACTGTATGTGTGTGTGTGTACTTGTACATGAGTGTGTGTGTTTGTGTGTGTGGATGTCTGCTCTTGTGTGTGTGTATACAGAGGTGGGCTGATGGCTCCAACAGATGTCTCAGTGTTGATGAAGTCTCCATATTTCTGTATTTCCTGTGAGGTAGACGTGGGGGCGTAGTGTGTTTGAGCTGATCTCTGGTCAGAGTTCACTAAAAGTCATGTGTTATTCTGGTGTAGCCTGTATTCCAGTCAGGCAAAAGGCTAATTCCAGTTTTAGAAACCCAATGCAATGCAAACACAATGCAAAATGAGCAGAACATTCTAGAACCCAGATATTAGAATCCTTAACAACAAATTAAAACTGTTGTAGAATCCTAGTAACTAATGCAAGACTCATCTAGAATCCTAGTTACCACTGGAAAAACTGTTCTAGAATCCTAGTCCCCAACGCAAGAATGTTCTACAATTCTAATTAACAATGCAAGCCCATTCTAGAATCCTAGTTACCAATGCAAAACTGTTCTGGAATCCTAATTACCAATGCAAAACTGTTCCAGAACCCTAGTTGCCAACGCAACATATTTTTAAAATTCTAATCAACAATGCAAGACTGTTCTAGAGTCCTAGTCACTATGCTAAACTGTTCTAAAATTCCAATCAACAATGCAAGAATGTTCTAGAATCCTAGTTACCAATGCAAAACTGTTCTGGAATCCTAATTACCAATGCAAAACTGTTCTGGAATCCTAATTACCAATGCAAAACTGTTCTGGAATCCTAATTACCAATGCAAAACTGTTCCAGAACCCTAGTTGCCAACGCAACATATTTTTAAAATTCTAATCAACAATGCAAGACTGTTCTAGAATCCTAGTCACTAATGCAAAACTGTTCTACAATCCTAGCCATCATTGCAAAACTGTCCTAGAATCCTAGTCATCAGTGCAGAACTGTTCTAGAATCCTGGTCAACAAAATGCAAAACTGTTCATAGTCGATAACTGGAAATGCTGGACCATGGATAGAGTTCTCAGCTGAAAGTTCTAAAACTTTAGGAAACTCAATCTGGATGTAGGTTTGGCGCATTGATGATTCAGCTTGAGTAGAAGGCTAACGGTGCTCCGAGCCCAAGCGAATGGAAATGATAGAGAATGAAAGAACAGATCAGTGGTGCTTGACATTTCGGCGTGTGTCAAGTGCTCTCCCCCTGAGGGACACTTATTGTTCGGTCAGGAACGGCCTCATCTGCTCAGGATGTAATTTGCAAACAGAGAAGGCCAGAGTGGAGGCTCAGCTGTCAATTACTGCAGGATTATAAATGCTGCAATTAGTTAAAGGTTAAGGCAAACTTCATAGAGCCCTGTGAGCGTTTCAGTGTACACACTGGAAACCCTGCTAATGCTTTTTCTGATAGAATGTTTTTTTTTTTTTTTATTCCTGGAAATGCTGTCGGCATCAAGGCTATCATGTAATACGCTGACCTGTGCCTGTCCTTGTATATGTGATTCATGCTACACACAGATTTTTTTAACATCTGGTATTTCCCCTCGCACTCCTGACCTTGCCCGTGTAAGCGGCTCTACAGCGGCAGGGCCTCCGGGCTGCAGAAGCGTATGGATGCCCATGTTTGTGTAGGGGTTTCAGGGAGGGTTATGTTACAGTCATCACGCTGGTCAACCTGTCTGCTCCAGGAAGCTGTAGAGAGAAGACTGGAGATGTACTTAGTCTTAGAGGCTGAGATGGAGGGGCTTTACCCACAAACACAAGTAAAAAATCTGTGTTTTTTTATGTGTAGGACTTCGATAAGTGTCATTGGTGGGTACATATAGATACTCTGTTGGATGCATCAGAAGACAAAGTGTCTAAATGCATAATTTCCAGGCTAATTGGTTTTCCTGCTTGGCAAAAATCATCACTTCATGTTGAATGAATGAGAGTCTGGTCATGTAGCACAAATGGATATGCATGTAACATTAATAATACTGTCAAATGTGTCTTCCCTGAATCTGATTTTTTAGGGGCAGCCAGGGTTGGATGGCGTTCCTGGTAAACCTGGAGTTCCAGGAAAAGATGTGGGTATTCATGTTTTCTAATGTGCACATTAGACACATTATAATGTACAAGTGTAACATATAACATTTGTGCTGTCCATCACATAGCCACGTTTCTATCTACATTTTATTGTGTATTATTGGTCAATCTACTTTTTAAAAAGGTCTGCTTATCCATTAAATGTTGAATTTCCCTAAAAACAGGGTCTGAGAGGTCTTACTGGTGCACCTGGCCCGAATGGAGTCAAAGGAGAAAAGGTATGGGCAAGGCCACTCATTATTACACAGTTTGATTGTCTGTTTTTCAATAATTTTGATGATTAATGCATTAAAAGCACCGATATGGAATTTCTGAGACAATAATGATGACTGATAAGAACATTCTGTTATGGTGTTTTATACAACAGTTAGTTCCGGCCACACAAGCTGATTGGTTGTTCTAACTGTGCTGATATTTCGCCATAACATCACGTTTTTTTCACAAACACTGTATCACTCCGCTGAGACGCCGTTGCTAAGCAACGACTTTGACAGCTGTAGGAGACGCTCAAGCCATTTGAACGTTTTTACTTCTTACTTTGCCACAAACAGAAAATGGACACTTTTAAGATCACATTTGGCCGACAGCCGATTTGGTCAGACTCTGAAGATGAGACGACACTAAATTCCCAAACTGTCATCACCACTGAGCAGCTTTTCAGTCGGCAGCTGAGACAGAAGAACAGCTAAACAACCTGGAATCAGCCAGAAATGAACCCAATACCATTCGCCAAATGTGTAGTCTGATCTTCAGAGTCTGACCAAATCAGACTGAACCATAAAACTGGTGCAATAAAAAAAAGAAAAGCTGCTCAGTGGTGATGACAGTTTCAGAATTTAGTGTAAGGAGGTGAGGATTGAACAGCCGTGATGTTATTTCGCGATAGCACACTCCCTCTCATGTTCTATTGCTTAAATAGTTGGAGATACTGAGGGCCAGACGAGGTCAGGCACAGTGCAAAATGTGCCTAAATGAGACCTCAATATGCGTCCACAGTGAAAGTTGAAAGTTCTATTAACAAATGAACCCAAAAAGCGTTCTACATTGGTGATATTTTACTCCAGCTGAATCGATAACACAGAGTTTAGCCCAGTTTAAACAGTTTTATTCTGATGGTAAACTTTCTCCCAGCACATGTTTGAGGCCCATGCCTCCGTCTAACTGCTGTGTCTGCTGCTGTTGTTAAAGGAGGTCCCTCAACAACAGGCCTCATGAGATCCCAATGCAAATTTATGCCTGGTCTTAAAAGCTTCTTATATAATACACTCCACCCATTTTTTGTGTGATCCTCCCATGGTTTTGCCCTATCCACCCTCAAAGGCGAGGCAAGGCAAGTTTATTTATATAGCACCTATGATACACTGCTGTCATCAAGTTGCTTTACAAGTAAGAAAAAAGGAGAGCATTTAAAAAAGGAGAAAAGAAATAAAAAACTTGATGAAAACAATAGATTTAAAAGAGAAAATCATTAAATTAGCTTAATTAAAAATCAAATTAAAAATTAGAATAATAAAGTGGTGTTACAGAGGAGCATGAGGAAGAGAAGCGAATTTCGCATTTCATCATGTACATAAACTGTGCGTTTGGGCCAGTTCCCTACAAAACATGAAGGCAGAATGTGTCCATTATGCTTGTGAAACTGACGCAAACGGCTTATTACATTTGGCCCTGTGTGCTGGCTTTTCACAATGTGTGATCACAAGTGCTTGACTATTGGGCTAAACCTTTAATTCATGTCCGTGTCTCGTGATCTCGTTTCATATCCACTGGAATCAGTTACTGTGTGAACGGCTCTGTTTTAGGTTTTAAACACGCTGGACTGTCCTCCTCCTGTTTGGTTGTTAAAGTGCTGCTACTCTCACATCTGTCTGAGGAACCTGTGATTTTTAAGTGTGTCTGGCTGTAATTACTGGGTTCAGCACAAACATATGTATGAACGCATCTTCCAGCTGAAGTTTATAAGCTGCTCAGATGTGGAAACTTTCTTTTCAAATGATTCCAAGAATGATACACTGTCTGGTGCTTCTGTGGTGTGGTGTGTTTTAAACAGCTGAAAAACTGAGAACCTGCATTATCATCGGTTCCATTCGACTCAGGGTGCCAAGATGTGATTATAGAGAGATTCTCAATGCGTCTTGATGTGTCTCCATTTTTCTAAAAGCTTACATACTCTAAACTACGGAAGTCTGGAGAGGCCATGAGGTAGTTATAATATAATAATCTCAGACAAACAAAGTTGTTATCTTGAGATAACGAGTTAAGTATTCTGTGATCTCAATATAACAAAGCTGTTATCTTGACATAACGAGTTAAGTATTCTGTGATCCCAATATAACAAAGCTGTTATCTTGAGATAACAAGTTAAAAACCTTGTGATCTCAAGACAAAAAAGTTGTCTTGAGATAACGAGTTAAGTATTCTGTGATCTCAATATAACAAAGCTGTTATCTTGACATAACGAGTTAAGTATTCTGTGATCTCAATATAACAAAGCTGTTATCTTGAGATAACAAGTTAAAAACCTTGTGATCTCAAGATAAAAAAGTTGTTGTCTTGAGATAACGAGTTAAGTATTCTGTGATCTCAATATAACAAAGCTGTTATCTTGACATAACGAGTTAAGTATTCTGTGATCTCAATATAACAAAGCTGTTATCTTGAGATAACAAGTTAAAAACCTTGTGATCTCAAGATAACAAAGTTTAGATAACAAGTTAATTATCTTGTGATCTCAAGATAACAGTTGTTACCTTGAGATAACAAATTAAGTGTTCTGTGATGTCAATACAACAAAGGTGTTATCGTGCGATAAAGAGTTAAGTATCTTGTGATCTCAAGATAACAAAGTAGTTAACTTGAGATCACAAGATAATTAACTTATTATCTCAAGATAACAATCCAGAAAATTATAGCAACAGCTCATGTCTTCTCCAGACTTCCGTACTAAACAGATAAAAAAACAGCACATTTTGTCTCTAACTAGACACATCAGTGTGTTCAGCTGGAGACGACACATGTAGGGGTACTTTTACACCAAATGTGTTGAGATATTTCTGTGGGTAACTAGCTGGGTCCAGAAACAGTGGGAAAAATACCTTTGGTAACACTTTCTATGAATGTCACTTTTGTAAGCATCTATAAACACATTTATAACATGTTATAATGTATTCATAAGGCATTATAAACATGGTTATAAATATTTATAAAAAAGAATTACACTGAATTACATTTTATAGCCATGTTTATTATACATTATGAATTGTTAATATAATGCATTATAAATAGTGTTAATAACATGTTATAATGTCAGTGCCAAAGAAGTCAGTCCCAGCTTGGAGAGCGTAAAGTAAAGACAAATACCAAGCTAACGGTGGGTGTACATTACCTTTCCCACATTGGGTAAAACACTGATGGCAGCTCTAGTTTAAACTCTGACATTTGAAGCCTGTAATGTGCTTTATTGTGAATGTTTTAGTGTTTCAGTAAATCCTTCAGTAAATACTTCAACTTGAAGCCTCACTGTTAACACTGGAGGAGGCTTTAGTACAGTACGCTTCACTTTACTTAGAGTGGACAAATACCACTTATGAGCTCTTATAATTTGTTATGATCAGTGCTTATAAGGTATTATGTTAACAATTCATAATGCATAATAAACATGGCTATAACATATAATGCATTTTTATATTAAATAATATATAATATATAATATTTAAATATATAAATATTTATAGCTATGTTTATAATGTCTTATGAATGTATTATAACATGTTATGAATGTGTTTATAGATGCTTACAAAGGTGACATTCATAGAAAGTGTGACCATACTTTTCATGCAAAATGTGGGGCACCTCATGTAAGATGGCAAGCATTAGCATACAGTTAGCTGTAGTTGTAGATTCAACCCTGCAACATCCAACTATAATAATAATAAATGTTATGTATAAATGTATTCCTCTACTTATGTCACACCTCCTTCAGACACGGCTGAGCCTACAGCCAACCTGACGGCTCGGGACTGCATTTCCCAGAACCCCTCGCTGCATCACGTGACTCAGGACTCACACAGATCCACCTCAAGTTCACCAGTCTTCTGATTGATCACACCTGACTCTCGTTACTTGTGTTTGTTGGTTTAGTGTATAAGCCCAGGCTTTAGCTTAGGGACTTTGCGAAGTATCGTCACTCTAATGTGCATACCGAGTGTTCCCACTGTTCTGACTGCTACTTTGTGTATGACCCGTTTTTTTTTTGTTTATGACTTCATTTAAAGCCTTATCCCTTTGTTCTGTTTTGGTTTGCTGGTGTCCGACCTTCTGCTACGGTTTCTTGACTGTGATTTTGGATTCCCCTTTTGGTATTAAAGTTTTCAACTCAAGCCTCGGCTGCAAGCGTCTGGTTATGTTTGCCGACGTTACAACTTACTGCTAAATTATGTGCTTCTGATTTTTCAGCCCCACGTTCATTTCAGCTGAAGTACCTTTTTTTTGCCATTTGTTTCTTCCCGGATATTCGTTCATTAACTCTCGAGGATACTCGGATATCAAAATTCGTCGGAATGTGCATCCCTAATAGCATATTCAATATCTTGAAGTATCGTGATATATTTTTTGCCTTATTTCCAACTCCTAGGCTACATTATGATTTTGTCCTGTATTGGTTATTAACAAGGTTTACTGCAGATAATACCTACGTCCTGTTCTTTGTTAGTGTGTATGATTTTGTAACATTAGCAATTTTCATGGAAATCATGAATTCTATAGAGGGCTGATTGCACAAGTGGGCACAGTTTAACTTCCAGTATAAGCAGTGTGTGCATAACGACATCCACTGGTGTGACTCTACATCTGTTTTAAACCTGTTTCACCTCTCATTCTTTAAATGATGCACACAAAAGTGATTTGCGTGCTAATAGCCTCCTCTGCTGGAGAGACTTCAGACTGCTACATGCGCTCTACTCGAGTAAATGAGCGGTCTAATATTTAAATGGTTTTAGTGGTTTTGGGGGATGTTATAAGAAAAAGAGCACTTTCTCTTCTTGAGTTCACCTTATAGCATGGAGATGTCTTATGTAGTGCTCCGACGTTGACCTCACAAGCTCTGTTAAGTGCATTGTGAGAAAAATGGGACACATTTTGCTTCTTTATTTATTTATTTATTTATTTATTTATTTTTGTTTCATAGGGAGAGAGAGGCCCAGCTGGAATAGCTGGAGATGCGGTGAGTGACTGCTTAGCTTCTCAGAACTCAATATCAGACCCATATTCCTGCCATTTCTGCCTGTTTCCCTCTAATTTGAATCCATACCCAACAGCAGAAAAAAGAAATTCTATCAAAATCTGTACAGTACTGTGCAAATCTGTACAGTACTGTGTCGGAGACCACCCATTTCCAGTCAAAAGAATAGAATTGAATTGGAATTGAATTTACTGAAAACCATGAACCCCTTAAAATCTCAGGGTTATTACATACTAAGGCTTATTATTCAGTAACTACGGGGGACTTCAATACCAACTGAGCTCTTCTTAGATTAGTGTGTTGGCCCACCCTGACCATTTAAGGGGTTAAGTACAAGTTATTCATTCTTCAGGAGATATTTCTGAAGAGATTAGATATAAGATGATCCACTAAAACCCACCAAATAAGTGTAAAAACAGAACTAATAGAGCTTAATAATTAAATAATAATTAATAATTAAAAGTTAGAGGGAAAATGGAACCTGTACAAGTTTACACACACTCTCAAAAAAGTATAGTTCTTTAAGGGTTCTTTAGTAAAGACAGTGGTTCTATGTAGAACCATTAACACTCAAAGACCCATTTGCATGCTTAAAGGGTTCTTGGCATGGTGAAAGGGTTCTTTGCATAGTTACAAGCTTGACATTGTAACAATAGCAGACCCCTTTTTGGTGCTCTATAAAATCATACACAACACATTCTCCATCAATCTGAAGAACCATTTCACCATGCAAACAACCTGGGTCTTTGAGTGTATAGTACCAATGTCTTTACTAAAGAACCCTTGAAGAACCGTGTTTTTAAGAGTTTAAGTTGAAACAGGCCATGAACCTGCCAGTGAGCCCGAAGTTTTATTAGCCACCTCTATAACCTGAGAATAGCTCAGCCAGTTTGTATTGAAGTCCCTGTAGTTACTGAATAATAAGCCTTAGTATGTAATAAGCCTGAGATTTTAAGGGGTTGAAAAGACCCCAGAACATGGTTACTGAAAGGTTTCTTCTTTAGAGAGGAAGTTATGCAGATTCCAATTATCGCCAGTCTTTTAGGCTCTTAGTCTTAGAGTGAGATGTTTCAACACGTCTCATCATATCTAGCTGTATCGTTGTGCTGTTATTTTTATATTCTTATATGCTCTGATTTTACGTGTTGAACTTAATAGACAGCATGTTGAGTCAAGCAGAGCTATCCTGAGTGTGGACACCATATAAATGAACTGGTGGGTTTAATTTCTCATGATGGACCATTTCATCTTGCAAGAAGGGGAAAAGATCATAGTGCCTGTCAACAGGATAACACTGCTGTCACCGGCAGACCTGTTTCCATTTTTGACAGATTCAATTTCAGTCATAAATTAAAACCTGTCTCGTCCTCATTTAAAAGCTTTGAGACCTAAATCTAAACGCCACATAGTATCTTGAAGCTCTTTTTTTTCCAAGAACTGCATGTTTCCTCCTCACAGCAACAACAGCTTCCATGAATAACATTACTGTCATATCATTACTGTCATATTACTGATATTACTGTTTTCTATAATAGCCATACTGGACATTTATGTTTCCTTGTGCTCTGTCAGGTCCAGTTGGCAGGCCTGAAGGGAGTATACTGACTAATAAAGTCTAAAACATATGATAGCAGTAAAGAATAATGCAGCTAACATCAAAGGAAAGCTAATTTAGCCTGCTAAACCTTTCATTTTAATTAATGCTGCCTGAAGGTGTTTGTGATTGTTGTATTGTATCACAATTTACTGTATCTTGAGAGATTTTCAGTTTCAGTAGAACATTTAAAGAGAATTTCACCTGTGCTTAAACGAACTGAAACCTATTTTTTTTCCAGGACGTCCCAGGTCCACCCGGCCCTGCTGGAGCAGATGGGCCTCCTGGGCCTCCTGTAAGTCCATTAACCTGTTTCTCCCATCACATGCAGCAAAGTCCTTTCACTGAAAGGGAAAATATCACTTCGCATGGCTGCATGATTTAGAAAAATATCATATTGTGATTATATTGCTACATGTAGCAATTTTGATGCTTTGGAATACATTAAAATACATTGGTGTGAAATGCTTGACCATGATTATGCCAGAAAATGGCTTGATTCACCAAAATTCCCAGATAAGCTCATCGAGAAATGTTTGTAATTTATCTTGAAGCTCAAAACACACTGTAAACAGATGTGTGATTGCTTAGAAGGCTCATGTGCGTATTGCAGCCTTTTGTAATAACAGGATAGAAAAGCCAATATTGTGATACTAGTTAACAAACAATACAACACTTTGCGAAATATTCAACCCCCTTTAAAAGCCATCAGATTTGTCTGGATTAAAAATGACACTTTGATGTGTTGTTTCTGTGTCATATGTTACTAAAAAGACTCTTCAAAATGAGTTAATGTTTTATTTTATGTAAGAAAACAAAAATCAAAAATACTCAGAAACTAACTTGCGTATGTTTTGAACCGCTGTGTTGCGAAAGCTGTAAGTTTCACAGATGAAAGACATAGATGTCTTACAGTTGGCCTCTCCCTGTGAATCATTTAAAAAGTTCACCTTTTCTGGATAAAAGACCCCCTTAATCCAATTACCTTTGGTCAGACTGTGTGTCTGAAGGAAAGCTGTGAAAATTAAGGCCAAAGAGTCTTTTAAAGCACTCAGAGATAAAGTTACAGACATGCAAAGGTAGGAAGAGGCTACAAAATAATATCCAAGTGTTCGGATGCCCCAATAAGCACTGTTGGATCGACTGTGAGGAAATGGAAGCTGCATCATAACCACCATGACACTTAGACAAGTCCATTCCCTCAAAACTCAGCGTCAGAGCAATAAGGGGGCTTGTAAGGGCAGCTTCAGACAGGTCAACCGTCACTCTGAAGGACCTACAGACCTCAGTGGCTGAGACTGGAGTGAAAGTGCACCAGCCAACAATATCAACAGCTTGGCATTCATCTGGCCTGTATGGGAGGGTGGCTAGAAAGAAGTCGTTACTGAAGAAATACGTAATAAAGCATGTCTGGAGTTTGGCAGAAAGCATCAGAGCGACCCAGCTAAGATGTGAGATAAGGTTTTGTGGTCAGATGCGACAAAAATTTGAGCTTTTTGCCCTAAATTAAAACACTGCGTGGCGCAAACTTAACACTGTCCATCCTCAACAATCACCATCCCAACAGTGAAGCATGGGGGTGGCAGCATCATGTTGTGGGGATGCTTTTCTTCAGCAGGGACTGGGCATCTTGTTAAAATTAAAGGACGAGTGGATGGTATAAAACACAGGGAGATGCTGCAAGACAACCTGCTTCAGTCTGCTCAAAACTAAAGTTGGGAGAAGTATGACCTTTCAGCAGGACGGTGATCCCAAGCACAACGCCAAAGCAGCACAGGAGTGGTTGAACAATCAAAAGGTGAACATCTACAATGGCCAAGTCCAGTCCAAACGAGAATCTGTGGCACTGTTTGAAAACTGCGCTTCACATGTTTGATCCATCCAGCCTGAACAACTTCTCTGCCAGGCAGAATGGGTGTAAATCTCTGCCAAACAGAGTGCAAAGCTGGTAGAAACTTACTCCAACAGACTTAAAGCTGTCACTGCAGCAAAAGATGGTCCTACCAAGTACTAGTCTGAAGGAGTTGAATACTTATGTAAGCAGTATTTTTTAGTTTTTGATCTGCTGACAAATAATGACACTTTTTTAAGAGCATGTTTGTTTGCAATATAATACTGTCTGGAACAATCAGTGTAAGTGTCATTAATAATCCAGACAAATCTAATGACCTCTAAGGGGGGTTGAATACCTATGCAAGGCACTGTATATTGTCTCGCACCAATGCTTCATTACTAACAATGCCCAATAATACAGTTGCTAACATACAGTTAGACATACAGGTAAACAAACAAAGTTTGTCAAATTACATGATTTTTACATTGATTTTGATTCACATACATTAATTTAAGTGAAAATAGGTTAACACATCCTCTACAGAGAACACACTTACAAATGGCATTTCTCTGCCAATTTTAAATAAATTTTCTTTAACATATTGGAAAATAATAAAACATAAAATATAAAATGTGCCTGTGAGGGATGATGCTATGGGGTTGTTTTTCAGGGGTTGGCCTAGAACCCTTAGTTCCAGTGAAGGGAACTCTTAAGGCTTTAGCAGACCAAGACATTTTGGAGAATTCCATGTTTCCAACTTTGTGGAAACAATTTGCGGAAGAACCTTTTTAAAAATATTTAAATGTGTATTCTCTGTAGCTGGACACATAGTTGTAGTTACACCAATGTTCAAGGTAGGCTTTATAAGCTACTGTAGCACTGAATACAGTCTGCACACAGTATAATCTGTGTACAGCATTAAGACTTCACTAGACTTCCTACTTGAAGTGTCAGATCAGCTCTCGCATAACATCTTCTTCACCTCCAGGGATTTTCCTGGTTAAACAGAGGTTAAGTGAAAATGTCACGCTCTGTTTCAGACACGTTACGTTATCCATGGCGACCCGTGACCAGGAGCTGTTCATGCGTAAAGGTATTAAAAAGCTGACTGTAATTGAAGAGTTATTTTATTCTTTCTGTCAGGGTCCACCCGGTCCACCCGGCGAGCCTGGAGAGCCTGGAGAAAACGGCCAAAGGGTACGACATATTAAACTAAAGAGCATCAGTGCACTCTGGGTCTCCGTGTTGCCTTCGCCTGAAGCGTCTGCTCAGAAACTACCACAGTGCATCTAACACTAAAGACAGCATTGAACTCTTTTCACACAGTGATAGGAAACACAGTGGCAAATAGAAAGCGGCAGTTCCACATGCTGATCCGTTTTACTATGACCAATAAGGACATGCACGTTTACCAGCAACACTGAGGACACTAAGACAAACACTCTGAATGCAGCATCAGCAGAATGGTAGATTCGACAGGGTTAAGCATAGATCTGCTCTTAAAATATGTGTGCATTGATTTATATTCACAGGCTCCAAACAGAATACATTTACTAATACTAGTATAGAATAGTATTACTAATACTAGTGTAATTACTTCATACCGTATTTTTACTTATTTGACAGTTAAACAACTAAACAGTATCAGAGTTCAGTACAGGTAGCACATAACTTTTTTAATGAATGACACAGGAAATGATTACAACACCACACATTTTACAATTTGGCAAGTGACACAGTCTGATGTCTGGGCCCCTTTCTCATGCGAAGTGATGTGTTTTTTCTTTGTAAAGCAGATTTATTTCAAGATTCAAAACTTTTGCGCCCATCGCATACTGATTTGACCACTATGTATATAATCAAAACACTGCAGTAGGGGATCAGATAAGATACGATATATTACAATGATGTCTATGGACACGACATCACAGAGTATTAAACTCTGAGCCCAGTAAACAATATAAAATATAAACTTTAGGAGAATCGGGAAAATAACAGTAATTTCATCTGCATTTTTACAGACAGACTATAATGATATACTTTAATGATGTTTGTGATGTATAGATGTGTTTCTTTCAGCTACAAGGAAAAAAGTTGTACTGCTGCATTTGCTCTACTTGTCCAAGAGATGGCAGCAAAGCCTAAGTCAAGTTTTTCTTTTCCTTTTCTTTTTTTAATTTGACAGTAGTTGTTATTCATTTTCTGTTGACCTCTTTCTAGGGAAAGAAAGGAGAAAGTGGACTGCCTGGAGTTGATGGGCTTCCTGGACCACCTGTAAGAACAGCAGACACAAACAGCCATACTGATGATTTCAGACAGAACCTCTCGCTGTGTAGTGCCGACTCCAAAAAGCTCTTCCCACCATTCTCCTCTTCCCTGATTAAATCCGTGACGTGCACAATGATCATGTATACTGTCTAAAAGTGTCCAGTTGGCCTTCTAATGAGCGAATTCAGCTACATTAAGGTCACCCATCACTGACACAGGTGTTCAGTTGTGCACTCACAGTAGTACTGAACAATAGAGTGGGATGATCTGGACGAGCTGCACATGAGCCTAAGGTCACCATGACCAATGCCAAGTGTCAGCTAGAGGGGTATAAAGTTGTGGAGCTGTGTTCTCTGGAGTGATGGAGCTCTATCCAGTACCTTTGGGATGAGTTGGAGATGCAGAACTGATCATCCAACATCAGTACCTGACCTCACTAATGTTCAATCAAATCCTCACAGCAATGTTCCACCATCTAGTGTAAAGACTTCCCAGAAGAGTAGAGGCTGTTACTGCAGCAAAGGAGGATGAACCCCCTATTAATACCCTTCATTTTAAACGAAACACAGGAGCAGCAAGGGTTGGACATTAAGCGCATCTTCATACCTGTTAGCTGATGTGTGCTTCATCAGAGCTCCCCCTAGTGGCTCACAGTGGATTTTCAGCCATAGTCATTATGTATTACCCTGTAAGATGGGCTTTATAAGAGCTGCTTAATATTATACTGAGTAGTGCCTTGTATACATACTTTACCCTTTAATGTTCTACCAACCATTTGGTAGAGCACATTTTGAGCTACTATACATGCCACAAAGTGCCATCTTGACCATTTGGTAGACATGAATATTTAAAAAATTGTGGGGTCAAAACACTTGTTTTTTATTAATGACCCAAACAAATAAAAAATACAAAAAAAATCCATTGCTTTTTTCTTCATGAGGACATTAAAGGGTTAAAAAAGATGGTTCTTCAAGGGTTCTTTAGTAAAAGAATAGAACCATGAACACTCAAAGAACCCTATGCATGATTAAATGTTTCTTTGCATCATGAAAGCGTTCTTCAGATTCATGGAGAATGTGCTGTAGATGGTTCTATATAGGACCTTTTGGAAAAGGGTTCTATATGGCAACCAGAAGGGTTCTTCTATTGTCACAAGGCTGATTCTTAAGAGCTCACATTAGACATGACCTTATAAGAATTCCTATTTTTCAAACATTCAAATAAAACTAATATCGCTTGTCAGTGATATTAAAGAACCACTTACAGCACATTCTTAAGAACCCTATCATGCAAACAGTTCTTTGAGTGTTCAAGGTTCTATATTGAACCATTATCTTTACTAAAGAACTTTCAAAGAACCTTCTTTTGTAAGAGTGTTGCATTAACACGATTCACTCATGCTTAAACCTGAACTAGTCTCCATTTCCACATTGTACTGTATCATTCAAAGACATTGTAATCATAATTTAAGATGAAGTCTTATGATAAAGTCCTGTTTAACAATCGTTAATTAGTATTTTGGGTTTTGCTTGTAGGGTCCTGTGGGCCCTCCAGGACCTCCTGGCAACTCAGGGCAGACTGGACCTCCTGTAAGTTAACATGGAAACACAGTAAGAGCTACAAACTGGACAATGATGCGAAACAAATTCAACCATTTTAACTTTGTCTCTATCATTTCTAAAGGGATTGCCTGGTGAAATCGGATTCTCTGGAAAACCAGGAGAAGCAGGAAAACCGGTAAGAGAATCCAGACTGCAGTCTTCGGAGTAAGAACGCTGCTCACCTCTGACAGTCGGGCCCTTCTTTAATATGTCATTTGGTCCTCTGAATACTGAATATATTTGACAGGGTCTTCCAGGAAAGGATGGTCTGGATGGTCTCCCTGGAAACGATGGAGAGAAGGTTGGTGCTGCAAAGTTCAGCATCATAAATTTCGACTTATGATGCCGTTTCTTCATTGCATTCATGCATGACAGAACATGTTCAAAGTGATACTTAACATAGATTCTTATATGACAGATATATAGTTATCGATATATAGTTAACATATAGTTTTTTACTTATTTGTTTGGTGCATGTTCTTACTTTCTATCTACTGTTTTAATGCAATTTTTACAGGGCCAAAGAGGAGAACCTGGGCTAGATGGCTTCCCTGGAAAACCTGGTCCAAAGGTCCATCTCACTACTCTATATAAACCTGCTGTCTTTAAAATGAGTATTCATCAGGCACAGCCTGCACTAATTATCATTAAAGCGCTAATCATTTGGGGAAAAATCAGATATGTACACTAGACATGGTTAGTGTTCTTTTGCCTTACACTTTGGGGCTAATATAGCTAAAAAGTAATGGTAAAAGTAACTTGCACAGCACATATTAGCATGAAAATGGACAAAAGTGGGGACAAAATTCAGGCTGCTGCCATTTCTAGCTATGCCGAATGTGTCGCTATGCTGCTTTTGTCCATGTTTACAGATGACAGTATGTCATACATACAAGTCTGCTTGAGGTGACTTAACTCAGCATGGTTTGAGGCAAGAATATGGAGATTTAGGCAGGCAGTTTGCACAATGCTAATAGAACATAAGGTTTTATTGCTAGAATATGCACAATTAATAGTTTTGTAATAATGCTGTGAACATTTATGAACGTTCATGATTTTGTGATTTGGTGTCAAGGGTGATGAGGGACCTCCAGGACCCAGGGGACCACCAGGAGAGAGAGTGAGTGCTGTAGTAATGATAATCAAATAATTACTAAAAGATGTGAAATAATAGTGCTGATAACTAAATCATGCTGAATGCATGTTAAATACCATGATGACAAAATCTCTCTCTCCCTACCTTCTTATTTCAATGTCTCTCTCTCTCTCTGTCTCTCTCTCTCTCTCTCAGGGGGAAGCTGGATTGCCTGGTCAGCCAGGTGAAATAGGACAGAGAGGAGGACAGGGAGTGCCGGTAGGTTTCCACTCAGTTAAACACCTCTAAGAACCTTCTACATACATGCAAACTCTGTTTATATAATGACTTTGAAATCAAGTTTAAATCAAGCGCTTTACACAGTGAAAACAGGCCACCATACTGTACGGTAGAGTCTACTGTGAGGATGAATAAGTATGAGAGTGTGGTCAATGTGCAGATTACAAACCACATATAGATTCTTTAAGTTAATCTGAACCTATCAGTGATACTGACCTGTGTAAAAACAGTACCATGAACACCATGAGAACTAACAAGAACACTACCATGATTACTGCCATGATCACTACCATGAACACCACCAACAATATCAACACCACCAACATCATCAACGCCACCATCAACGCTACCATGACCACTACATGAACACCACCAACATCAACACCACCATGAACACCACCATAATATCATCAACACCACCAACACCACCATCAACACCACCATGAACACCATCATCAACACTACCATGAACACCATGAACACAACCAACATCAACACCACCATCAGCACCACCATCAACACAACCACAATATCATAAATACCACCAACACCACCATGAACACCACCAACATCAACACCGCCATCAACACCATCATGAACACCACGAACATCATCAACACCACCAACACCACCATCAACACCACCATGAACACCATGAACATCACCATGAACACCACCATGAACACCACCATGAACTCTACCATGGACACCACCATGATCACACCATGAACACCACCATGAACACCATCATAAACACCACCATGAACACTACTGTGAGCACTACCATAGCCACTACCACAATTATTCCCATTAACTCTACCATTTCAGTATCATTGCTGTGCTGAGAATGGACCACCAGTCAAATAGTACCTGGACAACAACAGTCTTGTGGTCAGAAACTGACCAATGATGAATGAGGTAGAGAGGGACTGATAAATTGTGTTTAAACAGAAGAGCTACAGTCTGTAATTGTAAACTGATGTAGTAAACCTGTGTAAGGTAGCTGGAGCTCAAAGTGGCTACACTGTACAAAATAGATTTTTTTTTGAAGTTCAGTGAATTCAAAATTTTAAGGCCACCAAGTTGCTAATTTTTTGTAAGTTGTAACACAGAGTTGTGATGAGGTGGACAGTGAGAATATTAAATCAAAGGTAAAGTTAAAACAATGCATGACTTCAACTGGTACATATTGATAATGACTGAGTGTGTTTATGTTTATGTGGTGGTTAGCAGCGCTGCACTCACTCTGTATGTTGAACGATCGGCATGGTTCCCAGTCTCAAGTAGAAGCTCTGGCCTGGCTCAGCTCTCTCTCCCAAAACATCCCTCACACGCTGTAAAAGCTGTTTATGGTGGTGACGGCATGAGCTGGACAGAAATCATACGGACTAGTACTTTTTTCTTTTCTGGTCATTTCCATGGATGAGCACTAGGTGGGGTGTGTGAGTGGAAAGGGGATTCGAATAAAGTGACCAGTGAGTGGAAGCACCAAGTAGAGAGTGTGTATGTCCCTACATTCTTTACACCTTTACATTCTCTACCTTTTTCTGTCCGTTTCAGGGAGAACGAGGGAAAGACGGTGTCATCGGCCCTAAAGGGGATAAAGGAGACAAGGTGAGAGAGAGTATTGGACTTTAAAAACCCTTTCACCTGCTACAGTCTGAAAGCAGGGCATTGTAAGATATACCATGTCATGTCGTTTGAAAACGAATCAAAAACACTAGTCAGACCTAAGTAATCAGATCAAATCTGTCATAGTCAGATATACAGTACTGTGCAAAAGGCTTAGACAGCCATTAAATGATTTTAAACTCTTTATTTAAGCAGTATGTGAGTGTATATGACAAAAAAAAACAGTTACATATATAACATATCGCTGTTGTTGGAACCAAACCTCGTATCTCCAAAATGGTAACTTTACAGGAGAAGGAAAAAACCTACTTTACTTTTAATGTAAGTCAATGGAACCAGACATTTTTCCAAGTCATTTTGGGCTGCTTCCTTCGATCTATTCATTATGAAATTTACACACAATGTAAAGGCCAACAGGTATTTTCAAATTAAGTCAAAAACTGAAAAATGACAAAACAGAAGATACGTTTTGTTCTAACAGCAGCGACATGCAGTACTGGGCACCTAAGCAAACTGATTAAAGCCATTTATGTCAACAGCATATTTCTGCTTGCAAAATAAAATATAATTTTAGATTAAACACAAATAAAGTAGCAGGAATTTCTTGTTTCCAGAAAAGTAGACGATATCTTGTGAGCTGCTTGTGAGTTCTCCTCGACACTCCTGGCACTGCACTGCATCACCAGCACACCAGACTTCACTCAGTGAACTGTTACTTAGCTAATACCATGCACTGGATGATGAATACCAATTTTACCCGGCTTCTATGAGGAGAGGCTTTGAAATGCTTAAGTGACCACAATGACATGAATAAAATCATTACTTGTTAAATTCAAATGATTGTATTTATTGTAATATTAGTATTTTTCTGAGGGAATAACTGCTTACTGTCCAGATTATCAGCTTTTTGATTCTAATTTTGCCAGGTGCTTAAAAGCTTTGCACAGTCCTGTACATTTGTTTTATTATACATGTAGTAATATTACATCGGTAACACTTTATTTGGATGGTCCACTGTAGATTCTTTGCAAATGCTTTAGTATATCTTGAAGTAACACTCAACTAAATAGCCATTAAATGCAACTGATTGTGAAGTTAAGTGTTACTTGGATGGTCCACTGTAGGTGCTTTGTAAATGCTCAGTTGGCCTTTAAGTAACATTCAACTAAATACCCATTACATTCAACTGAACTTTAAGTTCACTGTGAAAGAATGTATTAAATCTAGCCCTAACCCTAAACCTAACCCTCACCTTAATCTCAAGGTAAAACCTACATCTACTCCTAACCCTAACCATCCATCCATCCATCCATCATCTAAACCGCTTATCCTTCTGGGTCGCAGTGGGGTGCTGGAGCCTGTCCCAGCTGTCCTAACCCTAACCATAATGTTGATAATCAACTGAACATCACCAGAAAGTTAATGATTTAAGTCTCTGTAGAGCATCTATAGGGGACCATCCAAATAAAGTGTGACCCTTACATCAATACATTTATACATAATGCAGTTCTAATAAGTAAACTGAAATGACAAATTATGTAGCTGTAATTCATTTTATTCATGTGGAAATGATATTTGAATGCAGTAAATTCAATCCATTTCTTTCTTCAGTGTTTAAAAGTTAAAAAGTAAACACTGAGGGAAAATTCTGTACAAGAAATCTATATATAACTTATGAGGAACATAAGGAACTCGCTCACAAGAAGCTCTGTCATTTGTCCTCGTACACCACCATCTGTGCTGTCCTCCTTAACGATGGGAGCCTAATTAGTGAAATCAGGTGATGTGTTTGGTAGTTGTATGAACAGCAGCCCTTATTGGATTCATTAACTGTGCTCTAATTCTGGCTTTCCCTTCTCCACTCAGGGGGAGGTGCTTTTATAGCATCTCCATAGTTAAAGTTTTATAGTTGAAGTTTTCTACTCTTAGTATCAGAGTCGGTCAAAATGATGTGCTTTGTGTTTGTTCAAAAAGCTCGAAATTGAAATGTAAATTTAAAGGTGCTTTGAATTTACATTATTCAAAAACAACACAGTTACTATCTGTCAGTTCAGTTCTTTTGGCAAGAAATATGACAATGCAACCAATTTATTCATGTGTCACTGACTGACATGTTTGAATCTCTATCCATTATTTCAGTTTGATGTTGAAAGTTAGCAAAAAGTTAGGATTCCACCTGGTTATAGTCAGAGCTGGTTTATGAGGCGCCTGGCCTCTTCCTATTTCCCTCGTTATATATTAAAATAGGACTGCAAAACAGCAGAGGGCACCCACCAGTGAGTCCTCAATGAAATGTAATAAATGGAGCTAAAAAGCTAAAAACAAAACGTTAAAATAGTTTTAATCACTTGCCCAGAACTTTCCTTAAATTTTAGAAAGTGCAAGGATGTATTAAATTAAAAAAGCACAGGAAATTGATCTGTGTGTTTCCTTTTTTCTGCAGCAAGAGAACAAGTTTTAGGCAGTAGGATGCTGACATTACTGCTACTGAGTGCTGATTGATTGGCGAGCAGAGCAGCTCATTGGCTGTTCATGCTCACTGACGTTGTGCACGTATATTAGGTGCCGTTTTAAACTCCTATAACTCGAGTTTAAAAGCTCCTAAAAATATAAGCAGTGTTAAGATGTTTTACGATGTTCAGTGTTGAGGAAATTAATGTATTATTTTATATTAAAAGTTTTTAAGTATTTCTAAACTATGATTTTGTTCAAGTGCTCCATATTAATCCATTCATTTTGGACTCACTCGAGAGCGCCCTCTAGCGTTTAAGAACCCGGAAGACATTACAGAGTGGAAATTCTCCTCTCTACAAGTTCTCTGGTGTAGTATTGCCTTAACATGCTGACATAAGATAAACACTGTGCTCTCTCTCTCTCTCTCTCTCTCTCAGGGTGAAGTAGGACCTAGAGGACTCCCAGGAGCCCCAGGAAATGTGAGTGCAGTGTTTTTAAATTAAATAAAATAAAAGTCACTCAATTATTAATCTCACCATCCAGACTTTTGCCAAAAAGTCTTTTACAGTCAAAGACTGAACTAACAGTTTTGGGTGACCTACAAACTGTAAGTATGTTGACTCTAAATAAATTAATGTTGTCTTTCAGTAACTGGTTCATATCAAATGGATAAAAGTTAATAAAAGTACATTTCAGTGAATGAAATTTGTTTATGTCGACCCAAAGAGAATGGGATGTTTTTACATTTTAACGTCACACGCGCAGACTCAAAAAGAAGATCCGGCACAATCGACATTATACTGATGAAGATATGATGACAATAGTAGATTATTCACTCACATCCTCAGAAGACACAGCCTTCACCAAGTTCCGACTTCACCAAGTTTTGAGGTCTCTCTGAATTCTCTTTCAACGTGCTCGCAATCATCAGATTCTTCTGCTCAGGGAAGGGGCTCAAAAAACAACCCCAATTACAAAATGTTCCTCCACACACTGTGTGCAATTACACATTTCCACCAGAGGGGTCTCCAAATCCCAAAAACATACATAGTGCAACTTTAAAAAGTTCCGACCTATATAGCACAACACTAATAAGGGATTATGTCACAGCCATTGTTAAAATTAGCTAACATTCCTCTGTCTGTTGCTTAGTAACAAGCGACTCACTATGCACTTTGATGTACCTGTGGCTGATGTAGTGATCTATGATGTTCTCTTGAAATGATGAGTGCATTGTGGGATTCCGAGTGTCCTCAAAATCGCTCTGAATCTCAGTTCTACAATTCAGAGACTGAAATAAAAATGACCAATGTAGGAAATAGTGCCCTAAAACGCAGTCCACCAATCCATGAATTCAAGTGATAGCACAGCAAGAGCAGGCAAGGAAAGCAGGAGAGTGTTTTTAGCTGCACTCACAGTTAGCCATGTTTTTCCCTTGAACTTCTCTGGACTGAACAAGCAGTTTTTGAATGATGTTGAAATCCTCTGGCTGGTGTGATCTTTAATGTTTAATCTCTAGTTTCAGTATATTGCCTTGCTATTATGAGTGGCTACCACAACAAATGAGGAACAGTAGCTAGCTGTGTAGCAACACTTATACTGTAAATGACGTTACTAAACGTCTGGACGCATGTAAATGTATTATTTTTTATTGGCTGTTCTCAGCATGGGGCCAACAAGAATCGTGTGCCACAGCTGGTTATTGAAAGTGCGTTGAACATGCACAGAGTGTTTTTAAACTGCTCACTTGGTTAGACAAGCACTGACGGTCCCCACGCTCACCAATCCAAGACTGGTAGGAGAAATAGGTCGGCTACTGGCATTCACACAACAGGTACAGGAAGATATTTGAAATGTATCGGACAGCCCATTGTCATATGTAATAAATGTGCAACATGTTAGTTACGAAGAAAAAAAAATATATATTAGTTGTTATACTGAATTATCGCTGCTCCACAGCGACATCTGGTGGGGCCAGGCTCCACCAGTCCCTAATGTAGAGACGCCACTGAACATGTATGATGTGACAGAACCAGCCAGACACTCATGGTTAAAAATAAGAAATGAGGCTTTGCTATGACTAATAGTCGGTAAACAGGCAGTGGTCAGATCCAAAAAAGATAAGATACAGAAAAAGATAAACATAAGAAAAACAAGATCAGGCAACCAAGATTCAAAAGGGGCAAAACAAACATACATGAGCACCCAGAAGCTCTACCAGGAGAAGCAATACCTCACAAAGCAGCTAGTCTAAAGCCTGGGCTTGTGTACTAGACTAGATCTAGTCACATGATAAACAGAACAGGTGAGACAGATTAGTACTCAGGTGATTGAGAATGGTGATTGGTGGACTGTGGAGGTTCCACTATCACATGGGCTCCCAAGGAGCTCTGTGTGTTCTCTGCGCTCTTTGGACGGGTGTTCAAACTTTTGCATGTACACAACTGTATATATACTCAGATTGGCTTTAGAATGATGTAGATTCACTGCTTTTCAGGGAGAAAGATTCACTGTAATGCTCACTTGTCTGAATTCCTTCCAGGTGGCCAATGTGATTCCCGAGCCTGGAGAACCGGTACGTTTTCTGACCTGATACTCTTTTCATGGCCTTTAGTTATGCAGCCACCCTAATGCATCAACACTTTTGCATGCGAGGCAGCAAAAACTGTGTTCTTTGATCAATGTGATGATTAAGGTTATGAGAAGCCCTTAAACCCTTTTGCTCTGCTATAATATTATGAAATTACTGTTTTTCTATGTACTATAATCAGCATTATTGTATGTTTTAACTGCTTTGGTAGGGTAAGCCTGGAGAGAAAGGAGAAAAGGGAGACCAAGGAATGCCAGGCATAGAGGTACGTGGTCAAAAATGAAAATAAATAAATAAAATTAAGTTGTGCTTTTAACCCAGTGCAACACAAGGTGGCAGCAGAGTGCTGCTTTTCTCTTACCACAGAGTGTGTTTACACCAGTGTAGTGGAGCTGCATGTAAGGCCAAGTTTATCTTCTGCTGTAAGCTTACAGAGACCTGGATTGGGAGAGAACAGATTTCAGTTTTTCACATAATTTATTGACTTTTACATTAGCCACATTTACATGCAGCCCTGTAATCCATTAATAATCCCACTAATAGCTTAATTAGAATCAAATACGTCCATATAGACACCTCATTCGGAATAGTCTAGTCTCATTGAGGCCATTGGGAATACTATTTCTATCCGACTGAACGAGGTGGGTAATCCTGTAAATAATCTGTTAAATAGAAGAATAATAACCATGTAAACACCTGTATCTGATTACATTCCCTATCGGAAAGTTTAAGTACGTTCTGATCATGTGCGTCACGTCATAGTGAAAGTTTATAATGTTCAGCATGGTGGAGCAGAAACTGGTCTGCAGAGGAGACGAAGTTTATGCTCTGATCTGTAAAAGACGGCGGTGGGACGGACGTCCAGCTTATGTGTCTCAGAACACGACGTCTTCCTCTCGGCCTTCTTTAATAAGGACATGTGAAGGACGTTTTCCTGAGTCTGACACTATTAAAAACACAAGCGCTGCTCACTGCTGCTCGTCTCACTCTGACTGGACTCACGTGATGCTCACTGTCATGGTAACGTCTACACTAAGTGGTTCTCTACGCATGCGTGTAATTTTGGATTGGATTACTTATAGTGAGCATGTAAACAGAGATTTTCATCAGACTGTTGAGTAGAGTGAGCATAAACACCTCAGTCTTCCGATTGGCAAAAATCTTTGCATGTAAACACAGCCAGTGTGAAAAGGCCTTTAACACATCTTCCTGATGGAAACACACAGATGAGCCAAATCATTATGACCACTCACGGATGAAGTGAATAACATTGATTATCTCATAACAGCGGTGCATGTCAAGGTCTAGGGTGTATTAGACATTATGCAAAGTGTCAGTTCTCGTAGTTGGCGTGTTGGATGCGGGAGAAACGGGCAGACGTGAAGATCTGAGTAACTTTGACCAAAGCCAGATTGTAATGACCAGACGACAGGGTCAGAGTATGTCTGAAACAGGAAGGCTTGTGGGGCACTCCTGGTCAGTAGTGGTGAGACCCTACCAACAGCTGTCTGAGGAGGGACAAACCCCAAACCGCAACAGAGTGACAGGCGCCCAAGGCTCACTGATGCACGAGGGCAATGAAGGCCATCCCATCTGTCGGGCCTAACCAACGGAAGAGCTAATGCTAACCCCTGGCCACCATCAGTGCTGGACCTTGGAGCAATGGATTAAGGTCATCTGGTCTGATGAGTACAGTTTTCTTTGATATCATGGGGACGGCCGGGTACGTGTGCGCTGTTTACCTGGGGAAGTGATGGCACATTGTTCAGGAATGGTTTGAGGAACATGACGAAGAGTTCAAGGTGACGTCTTGGCCTCCAAATTGTCCAGATCTCAATCGATCAAGTATCTTTGGGATGTGCTGGAACAAGAAGTCCAATCCGATCTGCTGATGTCCTGTTGCCAGATACCACAGGTCACCTTCAGATGTCTTGTAGAGTCCTTACCTCAGTGGGTAAGAGCTGTTTTGTTGGCACACAGACCAACAGCACATTAGTCAAGTGGTCATAAAGGTTTGGTTTATTGGTGTGTAATTACTATGTAATTACCAAGTAGGTTACTCATTAATTTATAATGGTAACTGTTTTCTGCACAGACAAGAGAGCAATGAAAGAATTATCTTTCGTTTTAATATCGGCACTTATTTAAATTATCATAATATTCAATGATATCATTTATCGTCCCAAGGCTACACTCCCTCGCTCTTTATCTCTCTCTCTCTCTCTTACACGTACACACACGCTTTATTACTATGATGAATCAGCTCTCAGCCAACTTTATCTATGTGAAATGAAATGCCTGTGTTGAATTACCGCTGCACTCAGTAATGCAGCCAGCAGCGATTATTTCTGTCTGCACAAACCACTCCACTTGATCTGGGTGCATGCAGTGTTAACTCTTTTAGTCTATAATACAGTTGGATCAGCCACTAGGGTGGTAAAAATGCACTGACATGCAACGATTTGACTTCACAGAAACACTGAATGTCAAACAAAATAATCAAACCTTGCATATAAGTTTGAGATTAATATGTTTTTTGTTGGTAAAATAGAACTGTGATAAATTACGGTGGAGCTACATTTGCTGAACTGATACATCTGTATTCCGATAACGTCACAATCACGCTGCCTCCATTTTGGTAGGCAACTTCAAGTTTATTCAGTGGTGCTGTGGCATATTAATGAATGGATTTGAATGTATTGACTTGATTTGATTTGATTTGTTGTTGTAGTGATAATAGATGAAATTTCCCACTGTGTTATTGTTCTCGGGTCCCAAACTGTATACCAGCACACTAAATAGTGTGCAAAAAATAACGCATTTACCATTAGAAGTGAACCCAATAATGTAGTAGGTGAAGTACAGACGTGTGGTTTGGGACGCGGAATTTGATCAACCAATGAGAGGAGTGGTGCTAATTAGCTGCTCAGTACACAGTAAACATCAGCAAGCGAAAGTTTGAGGTATTTGTTGATTAAGGTAAATCAATGCCTTGATTAAAGTAAATTAATGCATTTTTTTAGATAAATTAAAGCAATTATTGAGATAAATTGATGCATTTATTGAGATAAATTGATTCATTTATTGAGATAAACTGATGAATTTATTGTGGTAAATTGATGCATTGATTGAATTGAATTAATGCATTTTTTGAGATAAATTAATGTATTTATTGAGGTAAATTAATGCATTTATTGAGATAAATTGAAACATTTATTGAGGCAAATTTATGCATTTATTAAGATAAATTAATGCATTTATTGAGATAAATTGATACATTTATTGAGGCAAATTAATACAATTATTGAGGTAAATTAATGAATTTATTGAGGTAAATTGATATCGGTTTTGTATTCGCCAACTTTCAAAATTCGTTCTTCATTTAAGGTGCCTCAGTGTAACTGCAGCACCATTTAAGGTGGAATGGAAAATTCTAATGAGCAGCTGGTGAATAAGAAGCTGACTTCAGCTTTATACGTGTGTATGAGTTTATCATTTAAGAGCTTTGGTAGCTACTTGTATTAGTTTTTATAAAACATCACGCACTGTAATGTTCTCAACTCTGGAGATGTGCAGGTTAGACAGATCCAGTCTACCAATCTAGCTAATCTCCTTGTAGCATTTCTGGAGACGCATCTAAAGCGTCCACATATGTTTTCATCTTTTTTATGGTCATTCTGGTTTCTTAAGCTTGGTTTCTATCCACCTCCAGTGTTGTAACTGGAGGTGGACGTCATCTTCTTAAGGATGCAATCCAATACTATGAATGAATAATGTAAATGTGAATAGATTAGCCATATAACTGATCGTGTTTGACATTTTACTGCATGCTTACAATGTAAATTACAGCAATGATTTTAAACAAAACAGCCAGAAGAAGCTGCTTGACATTGAAGAATTCTCTGTAAACTCACTTATCAGTTTCACTGGTTGCTGATCTTTCCAGGGTCAAAGGGGCCTTCCTGGAGAACAAGGCTTCAGAGGACTACTTGGACCCCCGGTAATGAGCAATACTGTTTCATCTCCTGTCATCTCCAGACCGCTGGAGTGTTTCAGATTATCATTTAATCTTCCACAGGATGCAAATTAAACAGAGAATCTAATTTGCATCCGTTTGTGCTGCAGATGTATGCAAGGTGCTAGTGGAGCACTCACTGTCTGCTCACTAGTTTAGATTAAAGCTGCTGTACTTTTGCTTCACATACACTGTCATGTATACAGTGATGACAGAAACAGAGAGAGGTCATTCGCCCTGCAGGTCAAAATGCACCTTTTAGAAAGTGTTTCTAATCCAAACGATTGTGTGCCTCCCAATAATTTGACATTTTAACGACTAATCGAGTTTATTTAGAGGAAAAATAATCAGGAACAGCACCAGAGGATGCCCCTTGTTCCCAATTCCCACTGCCAACCCATCTCCCTGGTGTTCCTCAGTCCTGCATCAGTCCTACTACAGCTATGAGGGGGTCTGGCCTTCTAGCTACAAGCAGAAGCCGCCCAGAACTCCAGCCCAAGTTCTCAGAGTTCTCCCACTCCCTCAATCAGTCTTCCCTCATACTACCACCGCCATGTTGAATGCAAGGCAACCTGCTCTTCATACTGAGGAAGACTCTCTGATGAACATGAGGCCTTTAAAACTACACATACCCCTAAAGGATTAGCGCATAGCTGCTTTGTCCTACAGAAGCTTTTGCAGGTGTTTTTTCTTGCTTAGCTGAAAAGTTCCTGCTGCTGTTTTGAACAGGGAGTGAAGGGAGACACTGGAGATAAAGGAGATACTGGCAGGAATGGAGACCCTGTGAGTTTCACTGCTGCTTTTCTTCCGTCTGATGTTTCCTTCATCTTCTGTGTGATGTCACTTTCATCTCTCGCTCTCCTTCTCCTCCTCAGGGTCCTCCAGGGCTGCCCGGCCCCCAGGGGCCTCGGGGTTTACCAGGCAATGTGGTACGTTTTTATCTGTATGAATTATCCACAAGAATTTTGATTTGCTCTGGCGGTTAAAAAGTGGTCTGTCTGAAAATGCTGACGAATAATGGATCTGTGTGTTTTTCACTGTGGTTGAATTTTTACTACATCTTTATTAATGTATTATTAAAGTACTATGCAGCACTATGTCTATATGCAATTAATTATTATAATGCAGTAATTACAGCATTATAACTGTATAGAGTTATGACTACCTGTGTTTATTAATTCTATAATAAACTATTTTTATAAACTATTAAAAAGATTGAGGTTCTTTGAAGGTTCTTTGGTAAATTGAAATAGTTCTATATAGAACCATCTTTTATAATAATTCTATAATAATTCTAATTTTATGCACTCTTAGAAAAGATGGTTCTTCAAGGGTTCTTTAGTAAAGAAAATAGTTGTAAATAGAACCATGTTTTATAATAATTCTATAATAATTCTATTTTATACACTCTTTAAAAAGATGGTTCTTTAAGGGTTCTTAGTAAAGAAAACAGTTCTATGTAGAACCATCCTTTATAATAATTCTGTATTAATGCAATTTTTTATCTTATTAAAAAGAAGGTTCTTTAAGGGTTCTTTAGTAAATAGTTCTATATAGAACCATCTTTTATAATAATTCTATAATAATTTTGTTTTTATGCACTCTTTAAAAAGATGGTTCTCCGAGGGTTCTTTAGTAAATAGTTCCATATCGAACCATCTTCTATAATAATCCTATAATAATTCTATTTTTGTACACTATTAAAAAGGATGGTTCTTTAAGGGTTCTTTCGTAAAGAAAATAGTTCTATATAGAACCATAACATTCTAAGAACCCTTTGCATCGTAGAAGTGTTCTTCAGATTAATGGAAAACGTGCTGTAGATGGTTCTATATAGAACCTTTTTGAAACCTTAATCAAACTAAAAGGGTTCTTCTATTGTCACAAGCTTGTCATCGCACCTATAGAAGAACCATTTTGGGTGCTATATAGAACCCTTGTCAAAAAGGTTCTATATAAAACCATCTACATCACAATCTCCATCAATCTGAAGAACGTTTATGATGCGAAGACCCCTTTAATCATGCAAAGGGCTCTTTGAGTGTTCATGGTTCTACATAGTGCGGTTTTCTTTACCGAAGAACCCTGGAAGAAGCATCTGTTTAATAGTGTAATGTGTAATTAATAAACATTAAGTCTCCAAACGTGTAAACATGTTTGCACAAGATATTTGTCTGATATTAGTTTGTATGCAGCTTATCAATCATTCGTCTCCCTGTGTTTTCGTTTCTCAGGGAATCCCAGGCAGTATCGGCCCACCTGGCATAGCAGGCCTGAAAGGAGAGAAGGTGAGAGACACACTGTCGGACTTTCTCCCTCTTTTATTCTTTTAGCATGTTTCTTGTAATTATTAAAATGCAAATTATTTAAATGCACTTATATGAGAAGAAATTAACCCCTTAAAACCCCAGGTTTATTTCATACTAAGGCTTATTACTCAGTAACTACAGGGACTTCAATGCTGGTTGATCTACTCTTAGGTTATAGTAGTGTGTAATAAAACTATGGGCTGGCTGGTGGGCCCTGACCATATAAGGGGTCAACTAAGACCTCTAGAAGTGTCTGCCCTAAAGGCCATTATACACCAAATGTGATGCGGATAAATGACAAGAAAATTTGAAATATTGTGATATGATTTTTTCACATCAAAATGATAGACAGGTGGCAAAACCCACAGCAGACCTGAATATCTCACTTTGCTCTGCAGGGAGACGCCGGAAAGGATGGTCCTTCAGGTCCCCCCGGTCCAGTCGGAGAGCCTGGTCTGAGAGGTGAAGTAGGTTTACCTGGAAAAGGCAAAGATGGAGCAAAGGTATGAAATCAGGAGACCTGATCTGCAGCAATAAGGCAACATATATCAGTGCATTACTGATGATTATTGATATAATGGATTAATCTATTATTTATTATTCGATTAATTAACTAATCTAACTCTTTGGTTGCTTCGTCTTTGCTGGCACAATAGTTTGAAATTCCATCTGCATGACAAGCAGCTTCTTCTTTCATGGTGCGCCAGAGAAATAGAAGCCGTGTCACCTCCTGTGCTTTCTGTAGTGTTTCGGGATGACTGTGTTTATTATATGAACCGTTCAATAATTATGCTGAATAATTATCAGTGTAATCAAATTCACACAATTTTCCATTTACACCAGATGTGGTCAATCAGCCCAGACTAGTCTGGAAATTTGCTTCTTCAGTTCAGCACTGAAGAAGATGAGGCTAACTTTGGCTAACAGACACTAGAAGTCAATAGTCACCCGAATCTTTTCTGTAAATGTATATCCCCAAAAGTTCTCCCAAACCTCATGGTCTTTATTTAGGATGCAGATTTTATTTAGGATGCCAAAAAAACTACAGTTTAGCTCAACGCTGCAGGCACTTTAGACAAAAGTGCTGAATTTGAACTCCCCGCGGAAACCGGCCCCTCTTCGCATGCACTCACATCATGCAGGCATGTAAATGCTAGATTAGCTTCATGATTTCTGTTCTTTCTGTTTAAAAAATGTCTTTAGTTTGAAATTTAGGATTAACAGAAAAGAAACAACTGAAAAAAAAACGTAATCTATGCTGTCTGTGATTTGGCTGAGGTTTGAGTGGGTTGAGAGAAGTTTTCACTGGATGCATTTACAGAAATGATTTGGGTGACTATTGACTTCTATTGTTTTTTAGCTACATTAGCTTTGTAGCCCCAGTTATAAACTAAAGAAGCAAAACTCAGACGCCTAACATGCTTTGGCTGCTCAACTACATCTAGGGTGATTGGAAAACTATTGTGAGTTTGATTTTTCGCATTACTGTTCCTTTAAGGTCTGTCACGAAGCTACACTTGAGCCAACCCGACCTTCTTGACCACAATGTTCAGCTTTAAAGACTGTGAGATGTCCAGAGATCTAAGGACTTTACAACAAATTGTTTGGGTGATATAAGCAAGATGAGTTTTGTCGGATGGAGCCTTGTTGGTTTGTGTAGATGGAGTGTAGATTAAGCCATATGTTTAGGATTAATGGACAGCATATGAGTTAGTTATTTAATTAGCTCTGTTACTCAGGTATTATTCATTTATTAAATTGGAAACACATTCAAGCACAGCTCGTCATCAAAAACCCCAGAATTATTAATGTCACTACAGATTTATATAGTAACTCCAGGTAGTTGCTATAGTGTTGCTAAAAGGTTGCTATGATATTCCAGCTTGATGGTTATTAGGTGGTTGCTAGGATGTTGCTGTGGTAATCCTGGTGGTTGTTAAGGTGTTGTTAGGCTGTTGCTGGGCTGTCCCAGGTGGTTGCAAAGGTGTTGATACACTGTTGCTGTACTGTCCCAGCTGGTTGCTATGGTGTTACAAGGAGCTACAAACAGTAGAAGTCAGTAGTCACCCAAATCATTTCTGTAAATACATCCAGTAAAAACTTCTCTCAACCCGACAGATGAGGAAATTTATTGGCCCGTTACTGGAATTGCAGCTGAAAACTACAGCCAATAACTTGACACTCCATTTGTGCTCTTGCGCACTCTAGAATATGTAAAATCAGACGTGATGATGCAGTTTTCAAATATTTGAATAGCACAGTCATCATAACACGCTGACTGGACTGACTGAAGCACTTGCAGTGTAAATGAATCCCAACCGGAATAATGCCAGACTGAATTTGAGGAGCAAAACAAAATGAAAGCTTGTGCGATTCCTGTAACGCTGCGTTCCAGAGGAGCTATATTTCATCCCTCACTCAACACACGGCTGCGATGAGAAGGAATGGCAGTAAGGTTGACTCTGATGATTTTGTACCAGACTAAAGCAGCGTGGCCTGATGATTAATCAATGACTTTGTCTTTGGCTGCACGACTAATTCCATTTAAACACATCGTTAAGGGCAGTTATGACAGAACAGATCAGACTAGAAAGGGAAAGTTTGTGAACGAGCCTTAAGGTGGCCTGACTAAGGCAGCTAATAGTGCTCCAGAATTCAGCACCTGCAGAACACGGCTGATTATTTAGGATAACCTGATTGGAAAAATAGTAAAAGGTAGTAAAAGGTTGCCATGGTATTCCAGTTTGATGGTTGTTAGGTGGTTGCTAAGATGTTGCTATGGTATCCCAGGTGGTTGCTAAAAAATTGCTCGTCCATTGCTGTGTTGTCCCAGGTGGTTGCTAAGGTGTTGCTAGGATGTTGCTATGGTATCCCAGGTGGCTGTTAAGGTGTTGCTATGCTGTTGCTGTGCTGTCCCAGGTAGTCGCTAAGGTATTGTTAGGCTGCTGCTGTGCTGTCCCAGGTGGTTGCTAAAGTGTTGTTAGGCTGTTGCTGTGCTGTCCCAGGTGGTTGGTAAAGTGTTGCTAGGATGTTACTATGGTGTCCCAGGTGGTTGTTAAGTTGTTGTTAGGCTGTTTCTGTGCTGTCACAGGTGGTTGCTAAGGTGCTGTTAGGCTATTGCTGTGCTGTCCCAGGTGGTTGCTAAAGTGGTTCCTATGGTTTTGCTAAAAGCTTGCTATGGTATTTCAGCTTATTGCTTGATGGTTGTTAGGTGGTTGCTAAGGTGTTGCTAAGATGTTTTTGTGTCATCCCAGGTGGTTGTTAAGGTGCTGTTAGGTTGTTGCTGTGCTGTCCTAGGTGATTGTTGAGTTGTTGTTAGGCTGTTGCTGTGCTGTCCCAGGTACTTGCTAAAGTGGTTGCTAAGGTGTTGCTAAGATGTTTTTGCGTCGTCCCAGGTGGTTGTTAAGGTGCTGTTAGGGTATTCTGTCTTAGGTGGTTGTTGAGGTGTTGTTAGGCTGTTGCTGTGCTGTCCAAGGTACTTGCTAAGGTGGTTGCTATGGTTTTGCTAAAAGCTTGCTGTGGTATTCCAGTGCATTGCTCGATGGTTGTTAGGTGGTTGCTAAAGTGTTGCTAGGCCGCTGCTGTGCTGTCCCAGGTCGTTGCTAGGGTGTTGCAAGGCCATTGCTAATATGTGTGAGCTAGTATGTGTGTCTATGTAATGTATGTAATGTTTGGAAATGGCAGTGTGAGAGATAAAATTGTCACTGTGCATTCTGAGCTACCATGGGTCAACTGTGGGTCCACTGTGAGTTTTAGTCCCAACCGTTGACTTTATTCCTTAATCTGCTTTGTAACCATGTATTCCTCTTTCCTGGTAAAGCCACTGTATTCCCAAACCCAGGTTTTCCACTTGAATGTGCTGATGGTGTTGAACAGCCCAGCCACATGCCGACTGCTCTGTAATCACTTCCCATTAAACTAATGAGGAAGTGGGTTTAGGCTGCAGGTGCTGTGGGTGTTTCACGACATCACACTGCTACAGGCTACAGATACCCCACCCACACCCACACCCTCACCCACACACGCTCACACACACACACACACACACACACACATACAAAAATGCAGACAAAGGTGTCTTTGTGCAAGAAACCATTAACATGTGTCTTACGCTCTGTTTGAGCTGGATTAGTTTTCCCTGTTGACGTCCGGCAATGTGATTTGTAAAGGATTTGACCGGTCAGTTCGTACAGGATAAAGTATCTGTGGAATTTCCCCAGAGAGAGTCGGATCAAAACGTCATAGAATTAAGCTTAAAATTAATCCAGTACCAGCAAAACAACAAAAACATCCCGTTTATGCTGGATACAGCTGCATTAGCCTAGCAAAGTGGGCTCATTCAGTTTACCAAATGTGACCCAACAAGAAAGCGATCACTGCCCTGTGAGAGGTACTTTATTTGTACTTCATTGTAAAAGATGGTCCTTTTTTATTCTCCTTCTGATAAGGCCGTCAGCAAAAGTGTTGTAATATATGGTAGTGCTGTATTAAACCCGAGGATAAAGAAGCGATGCCAAGTCAAGCTCAGTTTTAACGGTTATCTTTGTCTTCTGGTCACCACAAAGGAGATGCTATTGTCTGTTACCAGGATTTGGTTGGGCATTACCATGAGGTCAGTTTGAACAGTTCAACTGCTATTACTGAGGGAGCTCTGTAATATATAATTCATCAGTTTGACGAATCATAAGCCCTACTTGAGCTGGATTAGTTTTAGGTGCCATAATTTGAGTGATTACCTATGATATCTACGATTTTACTCCAGTATTAATCTGCAATGTCCATAGTTTTTACAATGATTAAGTAATAATTCCAGAGTGATTTACTTTCTATATTTCACCAAACCCCTGTGAGAGTAGTCCTGGATGGACCTCACAGTAGTGTAAAGACAAAACAGACAAAATAATAGAAAACGGCACCTTCATTTATTCCTTTTTGTGACTGGAAGACTCGACCCAATATCTTAATCTTAATCTTTAAACAATGGGCATCACCAACACTGAAGTGAGATGTGAAGTCTCCTCCCTCATCCAGTGTCGATTTTGGGGTTTTGTTTATTTTTTCACCAAATTTAGCTGCGCGTTATTGTTTGGAAGCTGATGTGAACAATTCCCTGATGACGTTTTGATCTGGCTGTTTGGGGTTATTTGGGAAAATTACAGATACTTTCTCTCGTATGAAACAGCCAGTCAAATCACACATGCATTACATTACCGGATGTCCTCTGGTAACACTAATCCAGCTCCAATAGGGCTACAGAGGGTCATTAGCTCCTGAATTATCACTTAACAGACTTGTGAAATGACTGACGTTGCAGATTTGTGCTGGATTAGGGGGCGGATTCACAGAAGCTTTCGTGAGAAAAAACTTGCAAAGGTTCTTAAGACAAACATTAAGAGGTTCATAAGAATGGGCCTCATTTACCAACATCTTCCTAAGTTTTTTCTTAAATGTGTTTTTGAGAAAGATCCCTTGAAAAAGTCTACGTCAGATTCATGTCGTGTTATTAAGCCATAGAACTCTTCACATCTTTGTGCTCTTGAGTGTGTGTAGATTCTGTTCTTCCCTAAGAACAAATCCCAAATAAGAAAACACTGGTGAATGTCAGAATCTTCGTGCAAACTGCGTAAGTGGGTTTTAAGAAGAAATTTCTTCTCAAGAATGATTGGCAAATGAAGCCCAATGTTCTTAAATGCAATTCTCCAAAAAAAAAACCTCAACGCTTACAGCCTGAGATAAATGTGAGGCTGTCATAAAGTTAAGAAAACATTTAAGAACATAATATTTTTGAGAATACCACTTGTTCTTAGAATTAGTCTTTAAGAAAAAAGTTAAGAAAAGAGAAAATGAGATAAAAGAAGTTATTTGAAGAAAAAATCTTTTTCTTGAGAAGGAAGTTAAGAAAAAACACACATTTAAGAAAATTTTCATTCTTAAGACACTTTTCTAAATCCGGCCCCTTATCAGTTATCACTGAAGTTACAGCGCCTCCCCAAAAAGTAAGACTAATAGAGCTCCAATAGGGCTTTAGTGTAAATGTGTCTGAATCAACCACAATTGTAATTAGAGCTTTAAGTACTATAGAAAGTACACAAACAGGACATTTGAGTAATGATCCTCATTTAAGACAGTGGTGTGTGTTTGTGTGTGTGTGTGTGTGTGTGTGTGTGTGTGTGTGCATGTATTTGTGAGTCCCAGCCTGTGTTGTAATTTACTTTCGGTAATTACAGGGTGATGCAGGACTACCAGGAATGCCCGGACCTCCAGGACTGAAGGTAACTTTATTTTAGAAGCCCTTTTCTTTACGTTCTACCTTCGTTACCTTCTTGAGGTTTGACAGGTACAGGTGTGTACTTCCTCAGGACATGCCTTGTTTTTACTGCATATTATATAGCATTGACCCAAGATCTTTACTGAGCTCATGGAGCATCAAACCAGTGTGAGAATGTGGGATATTTGAGAAATTCTCCTTTGGCACGTTTACCTTAGCCTGTTGGTCTGTTAGGAGTCTTGTGCCAACATGTTGAAGAGTAACAACACCCCCAAGTTCAACTTTGAAAAATGTTCAAAAATGGGAGAGACATCTTGGACCGTCTGAGTGGGGGGATTACAGTGTTGCTTATGAAATGTATGCACACCTTTATAACAGGCCTCATCTTTCTTATAGGTTAAGCTCACAAACAGAGAGAAGGAGAAAGAGAAAGAAACTCACAAGCATAAAAACAGGCAGGGGTGGACGTAATGGGTGTGATTATCTGAGCATAAAGATATCTAAACTCATCTCATGTTTAAGTAGGATAATATTAAACCCAGCATGGGAAAGAGCGCATTCACCGTAATTAATGCTAATATAACACTGAAAACCCCATAGAGAGGCTAACAGAAATTAGCATTAGTATTAGTGCAGTGGAGGTAATTAGTATAACTAGAATAAACAGGCAACAAAAGGCAAATACACTGCAATAGGGTCTGATTGCTAGGTAACAGACATAATAATCAGTTATCAACCTTGATTGAGTAGTCAAGTTGTTTCTTTGTTCGTTTGTGCACTTTAGGGTCCACAAGGTAATCCAGGAATGCAGGGGATGCCAGGAGCCAGAGGTCCTCCAGGAGAAGGACTCACCGGACCAGCTGTATGTGGATACACACACACACACGCACACACACACACACACACACACACATATACACCCACACACACCCACCCACACACCCACACACACACACAGTGACTTGACTTGACACACATACATGAGATCACTCAGTCCTAGACCTCAACAGTTTCTGAGTTCATCATGGAGTTTTTGGGGGTCCTGCCTTCTAGCTACAGGCTGAAACCCCTCCTCCTTCCAAACTAACGCCCTATAAATTCACATCCTTACCCTCCGTTCCCATGACAAAGTGTTCCCAATCCCCACCGCCACCCCATCTCCTCTCTGTTCCTCAGTCCTACATCAGTCCTGCTACAGCTACGAAGGGGCTCTGGCCTTCTAGCTACAGACAGAAGCTGCCCAGAACTCCAGCTCAAGTTCTCAGGGTTCTGCCCCTCCCTCAATCAGTCTTCCCTCATACTACCACCACCATGTTGACGGCATCCAAATTCATAATTATACATATATATGACCATGACCAAACAGTCTGTTAAATGTTGTTCAGCAGGACATCTTGCAGTAGGAGACACCGGCGTGAATATATACAATTCTGAGCTCACTTACTTTGCACAAAGGACCAATAATGACCAACAAAACATTCATATGCTGGCATTTTCTAGCATTTACCCCTTCAGTGTTAATGACCTGGTTGATTGTGTCGTTCTGAGCTGGATGATTGTCAGTGGTTTGTAGGCTGTTTAAATCCATATTTAACTGCAAAATGCTGACAGTATCACTGCTAATTCAGAACTTCATGAACTCATTCTTCTCCTACCAGAGTGATGAGAGGCACCTATGCACGTAAAGCTCTAACGGTAACGCTTAGCAGTCGCCTCACAGTTGCGGTTATTGGTTAAATAAGGTTTTGGTGGATGTTGACAATAGAATTGTGAATATATCATGTTTAGCAAGCAAATTCTAGTTTGGGTTTTTGTTTTTTCATTCATAGGATTTTAATTGGAAAAATTTGAATGTCACGACGTTTCAAGAGGTTTTCACGATACACGATATGTCATGCTATTTATTTTTTCTGGCATCTGATAAGTTGGAACAGTCAAAGTAGTGCCATGATTAAAAAAGTTAAAAACTATGAATGCAATGATTTGTATTTAGCATTTTACATACCACATACCCTACATCCAATTCAAAGAGACAGCTTATACTCTTCTTTTAATAAAGCATGCATTTGAGAATTGTTTTTTTGTCAACAATAAGCATGTTGTGACAGATTGTGACATAATTTATCAAGACAACAGTCCAGTGAAAAAGCATTGCCACTTGTCCAGTTGCTACCACATACACACACATGCACATATACACAGATATGTAAATGCAGGTGTAAACACAAACAGAGGGTTTTCTTAGTATGACAGATACTAGAGGCACAATGACATGTTTGATATTGATTGATTCTACAGACCTCTATTCATAAACTATACACACATTTTACTTCAGAACAGGATTGGATTGTATTTGGCTTTTTGCATCCTTATTCAAAAGAGTCATCTCTTAAAACACACTCTATGAATCAGTATTCATACTCTGTGGTTAACGTCTGATTTGTATTCTGTATTTTTCACAGGGACCTCCAGGCCCACCTGGCCCATTAGGAGCAGTTGTGAGTAACTTGTTGTATTTCTAGGACATTCTGAGCCCATTTCATAGCTGTAGCCGTTAATCTCACTGCTGTCACTCTGCTGCCACTGCAGGGGCTGAGAGGAGCTCCAGGAGTTGCAGGGCCTCAGGGACCAGCTGGACACAACGTAAGCCCCAAACACAAGCAGAACACGGCACAGCATAGACCAAAGCATATACAGGCCACAGTGAATGTTATGGCCAACTCACTATACAACATGATATATAATGATTATAGGAGTGTCGGTGGGGCCTGTCGGTGGGCTCTGTTCATTTAAGTGGTTAAAGTAGATCTGAGTACATTTTAAATGTGCTCTTTGAACAGATACATATTTGATTTGTGGCCATTCAGTCTTAATGAGAACATTCAAATTAGAATGTATGTGTTTTTTCCAAACTTACTTCATTCAGTGTTAATGTGGTGGCAGCATCTAACTTAGATAGATAGATAGATAGACAGACAGACAGCACAGACAGACAGATAGATAGATAGACAGACAGACAGACAGATAGATAGATAGACAGACAGACAGACAGACAGACAGACAGATAGATAGATAGATAGATAGATAGATAGATAGATAGACAGAAAGACAGACAGACAGACAGACAGATAGATAGATAGATAGATAGATAGATAGATAGATAGATAGATAGATAGACAGAAAGACAGATAGATAGATAGATAGACAGACAGACAGAAAGACAGACAGACAGACAGACAGACAGATAGATAGATAGATAGATAGATAGATAGATAGATAGATAGATAGATAGATAGACAGAAAGACAGACAGACAGACAGACAGATAGACAGACAGATAGATAGGCAGATAGACAGAAAGACAGATAGATAGATAGATAGATAGATAGATAGACAGACAGACAGACAGACAGACAGACAGATAGATAGATAGATAGATAGATAGATAGATAGATAGGTAGACAGATAGATAGATAGATAGATAGATAGATAGATAGACAGACAGACAGACAGACAGACAGATAGATAGAAATGGGAAATTGCAGTGTTACAGTAGAAGATATATAATTGCACATAAACTTACAAATATTAGACAGAAATAAAAATAGACATACATTAGGCAGAAATAAAAAGTATGAGAGAGTAGAAATAGAACTATATCTACATTTACATAGCATATAAGACAGGTGTGTTGTATCTATATGAGAGCAGGTGTTGCACTAAGTGGTATGAGGTAGTTACAACACAATGAGTATAAGCTTAACTAGGAGTAGCAGCAGTGTTTACAGTCTAAAGTGAGAGCGTTTTTACAGTAGCAGTTATGATATATCGCACAGTGTGTATTAAAGTGAGTGCCTGTAAACACCACAGCAGTAATACAGTAGACCTTCTTTCACCTTCGTCTTGCTCTAATAACGAACAGCTGAGAGCTGTTTGGAGCTTTCATCTTTGCGAAAACTGCTCGCTCTGCTAAGCAGCTTTGTCAGGACGCAGGTCCGCTCACATTAAAGACAGATACAAGTCAATCACCCACACGAATGTGAACCACCAAGTTGGAAAGATCAGATCTGAGCAAAGATCGAATCGAGCAGTGAGGCTTGTGACGTGAGCGCAGCTGTAGAGAGGCAGACAGTGTCACTGTTGGTGTGTGTTTGTGTTTGTGTGTTCAGGGTTTGCCGGGAAGGCCCGGAGAGAAAGGTTCCCCAGGAGAGCCGGTGAGTGATGATCTGTCAGCTTCAACATCACCGTCAGCAGCACTGACAGCTCTTATTGCTGTGCGCTGGTGATGCTGTCAGTGAGTTTAATGGATGAGTGTGGATGTGTTTGTGGGCAGTAGGACCTGCCTCAGAGCTCAGATTGATTCCTGATCGCTCTCACGTTGGGTTTCTTTCAGGGTAAGGCTGCAGACCTGTCTCAGCTCGACCTCAAGGTGAGAACACACTCATCCCTCCATACAGACGCTCATCCCTCCATACAGGCGCTAATCCCTCTATACAGACACTCATCCCTCCATACAGACACTCATCCCTCCGTACAAACACTCATCCCTCCACCCAGACACTCATTCCCTCATACAGACACTCATCCCTTCATATAGACACTCATCCCTCCATACAGGCACCCTTCCCCCATACAGGCACCTATCCCTCTATACAGATGCTCATCCCTCCATACAGGCGCTAATCCCTCTATACAGACACTCATCCCTCCATACAAACACTCATCCCTCCACCCAGACACTCATCCTTCTATACAGACACTCATCCCTCCATACAGACACCATTCCCCCCATAGAAACACTCATCCCTCCATACATACACCTATCCCTTCATACAAACACTCATCCCTCCATTCAGACACTCATCCCTCCATACAGACATTCATCACTCCATATAGACACTCATCCCTCCATACAGACATTCATCACTCCATATAGACACTCATCACTCCATACAGACATTCATCACTCCATATAGACACTCATCACTCCATACAGACACTTATCCCTTCATACAGACACTCATCCCTCAATTCAGACACTCATCCCTCCATACAGACACTCATCCCTCCATTCAGAAACTCATGCCTCCATAGACACTCATCTCTTCATACAAACACTCATCCCTCCATACAGACACTTGTCCCTCCATAAAGACACTCATCACTCCATACAGACACCCATCCCCCATACAGGCACTCATCCCCCCATACAGACACTCGCCACTCCATACAGACACTCATCCCTCCATACAGACACTAATCCTTCCATACAGACACTCATCCCTCCATACAGACACTCATCCCTCCATCTACCTGTATAATCAATCACCCATCCATCCATCCATCCATGCATTCATACACCAGTTTTATGATCCACCCATCATCTATCCATTATTCATTCACCCATCCACCTGTATAATCAATCACCCATTCATCCGTCCATTAACACCATCCATCCATCCATCCATCCATCCATCCATCCATCCATATATCCAACAGTTTTATGATCCACCCATCATCTATCCATTATTCATTCACCCATCCACCTGTATAATCAATCACCCATTCATCCATCCATTAAAACCATTCATCCATCCATCCATCCATCCATCCATCAGTTTTATGATCCACCCATCATTTATCCATTATTCATTCACCTATCCATCCATCCATTAAAACCATTCATCCACCCATCCATCCATCCATCCATCATTTTATCTGTTTCATAGGAGTTTTCATGCATGCACAATTCTCACAAACACCATTAATCTCACCTGCTGTTCTCATAGGGTGTATGTTCGGACTGCCCCCCTGGACCTGTTGGCCCACCAGGAATACCCGGACCTCCAGGAGACAAAGGCCCTGTTGGAACTCCAGGAAAGAATGGACAGGATGGATATCAGGTGACACTGCACTGGGCTCAGGCTTACAGAACTACATTTTGGATCACAGATATGAGTTTATATGACTGAACATCATAGAAAAGCTTTTCTGTGCACTTTTATGGAGTCTAGTTTGGTTTATTACACTTATTCGTTCAACTGGCTCCAGTGGGATGAGTTACTTCTTATGTAAACAGTAATAATAATAATAATAATAATAAGAAGAAGAAGAAGAAGTAGAATACCCCATAGAATGTGAATAGCATCCCTAACGTCCACAGCAAACAAATACGCCCATCCACACACTTAAAAAAGATGGTTCTTCAAAGGTTCTTCAGTAAAGAAAATGGTTCTGTATAGAACCATGAACACTAAAGGAACCCTTTGCATTAGTAAAGGGCTCTTTGCATCATTAAAGAGATCTGCACATTGATGGAGTATGTGTTTTAAACTTTTTGAAAAGGGTTCTATATAGCACCAAAAAAGCATTCTTCTATTGGTACAATGTCAAGCCTGTAACAATACAAGAACCATATTAGGTGCTATACAGAACACTTTTCAAAAAAAGGTTCTACATAGAACCATCTACAGCATATTCTCCATCAATCTGAAACACTCTTTAATGATGCAAAGGGTTCTTTGAGTATAAATGGTTCTATATAGAACCATTTTCTTCACTTAAGAACCCTTGAAGAACCATCTTTTTAAGAGGGCACAGCAATGCCAGTCTATCGCCTCTCTGAAGTCCCATGATGGAGGTAAAAGGCTTTGGGGAAACAGGTCAAGCAGAGAGTGTTTGAGAGAGCAGACGTCGGGGGGGAAAGGTGTGGAGAACCGAGTGCTGTGCATCAGTCAGGATGTCAGGATGGATTACACAGGTTAGAGCTCACGCTGTCATCAAAGCACCCGGCGTCAAGGGAAACCACGAGCGGAGGAGATGGAGGACCTGACCCCAGTGACTGTGTGTGTGGAGATCTTTTCACAGTGTTGTAACTGAAAGTGGTTGTTATTTGCAGGGCTTGCCTGGGCCAACCGGGCCTCCGGGACCACCTGGAGCTGATGGAGCCAAGGTCAGAGCAAGAAACTTAACACACTTCACACACACACACACACACCTTCCACAGCAGTAACTGTGACTTCTAAAGGTTAGCCAGTCATACGCAGTGGGCAGCTAAACTGAGATGTCCAGATGCCTGAACTCAGCACAGACCAACATTCCTAGACTGAACATTCTTAGATATAATATGAGATATGAACAGTGACTCACTGCTGCTGTGACCTGTGATTAACCATGTTGTGAACGCAGGGTGTGAAAGGAGACCGAGGCCCTGCAGGAACTCCTGGAGATAAAGGTGAAAAGGTACAGAGGCCATTCTTCATTTAGACCGGAGAGGCCATGAGCTGTTCCTATAATTTTCTGAATTGTTATCTTGAGATACAAGTTAATTATCTTGTGATCACATGATAACAACTTCGTAATCTGGAGATCACAAGGTCATACAACTCATTGTCTCAGGACAACAACTTCATCTCGAGATAACAAGATAATTAACTTGTTATTTCAATATAACAACTTTGTTGTCTTGAGATCATAGGATAATGTACTCATTGTCTCAAGACAACGACTTTGCTATCTTGAGTTAACAACATAATTAACTTATTTCGAGATAACAACTTTGTTATCTTGAGATCACGAGATAGTTAACTCATATCTCAAGATAACAACTTTTGTTATCTCGAGAGAACAAGATGATTAACTCGTTATTTCACAATAACAACTTTTGTTATCTTAAGATCACAAGATAATGTACTTATTTTCTCAAGACAACAACTTTGCTTTCTTAAGATAACTAGGTAATTAAATTGTTATTTCAAGATAACTTTGTTATCTCCAGAAAACAGATAATTAACTTGTTATTTCAAGATAACTGTATCTTGAGATCACAAAATAATGAACTCATAGTCTCAAGACAACGACTTAGTTATCTCGAGATAATAAAATTAACTTGTTATTTCAAGACAACAACTTAGTTATCTCAAGATAACAAGATAATTAACTTGTTATTTCAAGATAACAACTTGGTTATCTCAACATAACAAGATAATCATCTCATTATCTCAACATAACAATCCAGAAAATTATAACTACCTCATGGCCTCTCCAGACTTTTTCGTATTCATTTACCTACTTACTGTGTCTCTTTACTCGTCTAGAGGAAAGACATTGTCTGTATGTCAGTGTTGGACTTCATGTCTTCTTTCAGTCTCTCATTTTGCTTCATCATGTTTATGTGTGTAGGGACCTCCTGGACCCCCTGGCTATCCAGGTGCAGCTGGACCAATGGGTCAACCTGTAAGTAAGCCTGTTCAGATCTACCCAAAAAAACACTGTTTATTCTATTACATGGATAATTATACTTACTCTGATATTCAATTATTATATCTCTGCTGTCAGAACAAAACCTTGTATCTCCATTTTTGTTGTTTTTCAGTTTTTGACTTAATTTGAAAATGCCTGTTGTCCTTTACATTGTGTGTAAATTTCATGTTGAATGAACCCAAAAGAAACAGTCCCAAATTGACTTGGAAAAAGCTCTGGTTCCATTGACTCACATTAAAAATAAAGTGTGTTTGTCCTTCTCCTGTAAAGTTACCATTTTGGAGATACGAGGTTTTTGTTCTGACAGCAGTGATATTAGTTATTTCAACATTCTGTGTGTAATTTTGAAAAAAAGTCATTTAAATATGTTTTTGACTGTGTGTGAACTGTAGGGAATGTGGGGAGACAGATGATAATGCATCTCACAATAAGTGAAATGATGACACCTAAAGCCGCTTTTCCACTGCGTGGTACCAGGTCCACTCGACTCTTCTCGCCTTCTCGCCAAAATTTGTCTGCTTCATGTCTCGGCGGTTTTATGCGGCGTCACTATGATGACCAGCTACATTGAGGTTCTATATCTGCAGTAGAAAATGAAAGTAGTTGGTACTCGAGTCGAGCCAAGCCGTACCACGCAGTGGAAAAGCAGCTTAAGTGAAGATACATACAGAAATATTTCAAACAAAAATATGACAATTTTTTATATATTGTATGATGAAAAATATATCATAACAAACAACAGAACCATCACTTGTTATGTTGGCTGCTTGCCACAAGTGAATGTAAAACGTTCCATGTTTTCATTTTTATGTCAATTTCAATATTTTCTCATTCTCTTCAGATACTATTAGAATTTGCTGATATTTATATACCAAAAGAGTTTAAACCCCTTCCCAGCTCAGACTGACCGCTGCAGCATTTCCTGTCCTGTTGTGTGTTCGCAGGGAAATGATGGCAACCCTGGCCCCGCTGGTCCCCCTGGACCTCCAGGTGAAAAGGTAAAATACATCATGTGCATAACATGTATGGTGTTGAACATGTGTTTACATGAATGGATGTTATTACAGTGTGATCAACTGTACATTGAGTTACTGTGTTGACTTGTGTAGTACGCATTATTTCTGACCTGGTCAGTGTGTGAATTTTTCAGGGTAAAGAAGGAATGAGAGGCATCCAGGGCCCTCCGGGTCTGCCAGGCTTGATGGTGAGGAATTAGCTGTTAATAAGATTAATTATTGTTTTAGTTATTAAACTGTGAAGTGCAGCATTACGATCTTTGGAGGAATGTGCTGCACTCGTTTCTTTTCAATCAGGTTTTGATGTGTTGGCGTTGACTGGGTTTGCCCATTCACATTGTATTCATGCCTGATTGTGTTTTTTTTTTCCTTTGCACAGGGGATGATGGGTAAGCCTGGGAAAGATGGGCGACCAGGAGAGCCAGGAGAGCCAGTAAGAGCCTCACAAACACTTTAAACACCAGATTGTATACAGGCTGCTTCTTTTCAGAGAAGCATAGTTCAGGTTCAGAAAGTAAAATCCTCTGCAGGACTTTGTTTCAACTGTCTCTGTTTAGCTTCAGGGGGCAGGGTTTGGCTGAACAAATGTGCCCAGTTAGCCCTATTGACCAAATGGTAGAGCATGTTTCTTCATAGACTTTCAATTTCAGACCCCCCCCCCAATAAAACATCACCCTCTATCTTTGCTTGAATGCACCATTTTTTCCAGTGTTCTGTTTTAAGGAGGTACTCCTTAAAAGTACTTGTCTCATGAGGTTATGTGGTTGGTCAGGTGGTTAGGTGTTGTCCTGACCATGGAGTTGAAGATGGTGACCTCTGCCAATCAGAGCTCTTAATACATAATTTCTCCACGTCTAACGTGGTCATCATGCGAAATGTATGACATCATTAGCTCAAGTTATTGGTGCTGGATGAAAGCTGCATCAAACAAAGATGGTGGCACCCAGGACACATACGGCACTGTGCAAAAGTCAGAGACCGCTATTAATTTATTTAATATTTGGCCAAAAAGGCCATTAAGTACAAATGATTCATTTTTCAAGAGATATTTCAGAGGAGATTAGATATAAGATGATCCATCTGGATGAGGAAGGAGAACGTCGAAGGAAAATAAGTGTAAAAACAACAGGGGTTTCCAAAAAGTGGAGTCACTCAGAGCTTTGATCTCTGAGAGAGAGGAGAAAATCAAGCTGCTTCAGATCTGAAAACATCCACAGGTGTTTCTGTCCATCCTTCCACTGTGAGAAGACGACTCAGCGCTGTGGGTCTGAAAGGATGTGTAGCTGTCAAGAAGAACCTCACTGAGAAAAGGAGACGGACACACCAAACAAAGAAGCTAAACAATGGACTGACCACCCCAGAGTCCAGACCTCAGCACCACTGAATGGGTTTGATTGCTTCAGAAAATGATCAACCAGCTTCTAAGACTGAACTTTGGAGGTGTGGAAAATATCCCTGCAGGTTTCTTTGAGAAGCTGAAAGTGAGTCTCCTGAAAAGAAGGGAAGCTGGAATAAAGGTGCAGAGTGGACACAATAAAGACTGAAAATTAAATGAATGAGGAATGGGCTCTGCAGGGCACTGTACGTCCTGGGGTAAACATGCCACTGAGCAAATCCCATTGAAAAGAAGAGGTGCTAATGCTAATGACTGTCTCCCAGTCCTGTACTGTCTCTGTGATTAGCTCAAAAAGCAGCAGAGGTGTTGCTTTCTAGACCTGAATTTTCCACCTCTTCTTATTTTCTCTAAATATTAAGGCGGTAAGATGATATTTTCACTAGTTTTATACTGTTTTAATTTTGTTGCTGACTAATTGACAAATTGTGGAAGTACACACTTATAAAAGATGGTTCTTCAAGGGTTCTTTTGTAAAGAAAATGGTTCTATCTGGAACCATGAACACTCAAAGAACCCCTTGCATGATTAAAGGGTTTTTTCGTCATGAAACGTTCTTCATACTGATAGAGAACGTGCTGTAGATGGTTCTATATAGAATATTTTTGAAAAGGGTTCTAAATAGCACCAAAACGTGTTCTTCTGTTGTTACAAGCTCGTATCATAACAATAGCAAAACCCATTTTGGTGCCATATAGAACCCTTTTCAAGAAAGCTTCTATATAGAACCATCCACATTCCCACATTAGAACCAAGCACTTTCATCTCCAATCTGAAGAACCCTTTCACAATGTGAAGAACGCTTTTCACGATTAAAGGGTTCTTTGCATTGTAAAAGCGTTCTTCTTTCTTTACTCATGCAAAGGGTTCTTTGAGTGCTTATGGTTCTATATAGAACCCATCTTTTTTAAGCAGGGGGATGTTTGCATGATGTTATATAGGATACTGTGAGTGTTTATGAATTACATCATTGGAAAATGAAGATTGTGTTACAAAAACAAAGTAAATGGTTTCACTCTTTCAGGGTAAACAGGGAGAAGCCGGACCGCCAGGCAGAGATGGGCTGAGGGGGCTTCCTGTAAGTGAGAACATGATTGATTATGGGTAAAGCAAACTGCCTTCTCTACATTAGAACTTAAAATGGATTCAATTTGCACATTCTTCTTTCATCCAGGGTTTTAAAGGCCACCGAGGAGAGCCTGGACCACCAGGGTCAAAGGTTAGTGACTGTTTTCTACATTCTGCCAGCAGAGGGCAGCGATCAGGAAGACTGGTCTCGGAAAGGCGTTGAAATGTGGTTTGGTGCTTTTTCCACTGGAAAATGAGAGGCATTCAGCTCATCAACGACTCATAACTCACTGAGATGTCTGAGCAGATAAAACTGTGACTCTCTGAGGAAGAAGCCCCTCGTCTTAGTATTGTCCCTGTTGGAGAAATGTAATCTCAGCACTTTAACCACAGAATACCAGGAATTTCAGCATGCAATTTGTCCCTGACAGCGCAGACTGTATAAAACCTGTGTCACTGGCAATGTAAATGCCATCTGGAGGGCAGAACTTAAAGGTCACTGCAGGCCAGACTCGGCCCACGTCCACAGCTTGGGCAGCCCTCGAATGGAGTATCCACCCTCAAACGACTTTCCTTCATGACCAATGTAACATTTCTGCCATCTGCTCAGACACGGTTTTATTTAACTGTGTCTCTTTCAGGGCGAGGAAGGGAAACAAGGCCCCCCTGGACGAGAGGGTCAACCTGGAAAAGATGTGAGTTACTGTACTGCACAAGAAATATCAATAATATCAGAGCCAAATCACAGTCATAACAGTTTTATGTTTGTTTATTTTTCATAATTTGAATCATTCAGCTGCTCTTTACATTGCTTGAACATTGCTGGGTGAACAGAAATTTCTAACCCAGTGTTTAAGAGCTTTGTTATCCTTCACCTAAAGTTAGTTGGGGGATACAAAATTCACAGGGCGCTTTCGAATCACTTGTTATCAGTTGTTGTAAATCTTATAAAATAGACACTACACTGCAAAAAATGATATCTTGTCAAGTGAAATGATCATAAATCTAGTCAATATGTCTAATATTTCCCATTTTTAGAAGGTTGTGCACTTATTATAAGATTATTGAGCTTATTTCTAGACATAATTACTTGTTTTAAGTAAATTTATTAAGTAAAATGACCATTTTGCATGTTTCAAGCTCATTTCTTAAAACAAGCAAAAGAATCTGCCAGTATAGTGAGAGAATTTTATTTAATAAAATTACTTAAAACAAGTAAACAATGTCCAGAAATAAGGTAAATAATCTTAAATTATGCTTACAACAATCCGCCCAATGACAGCTGGGATAGGCTCCAGCAAGAGACACCAAAAGGTGTTTTGCAGATGTTTTGTTCAATATTTCATTTCATTTGAGTAATATATAAAATATATTCTATATAGTACCAAAAAAGGGTTCTTTGGCTTGTTCAATAGTGGAACCCTTTTTGGAACTCTTTGAATGATTAAATAGTTTTTTGCATGGTGGAATGGTTCTTCAGATTGCTGGAGAGTGTGTTTTATATGATTCTATATAGAACCCTTTTGAAAAGGGTTCTTTCTAGCACCAAAAAGCGTTCTGCTATTATTACAATACAAGCTAGTAACAACAGCAGAACCCTTTATGATGCTATATAGAACCCGTTTCAAAAACCATGTACAACACATTCTCCATCAATCTAAAGAACCATTTTACCCTTCAAAGGATCCTTTGATCATGCAAAGGGTTCTTTCAGTGTTCATGGTTCTATATAGAACCATTTTCTTTACTAAAGAACCATTTTAAGAGTGTAGCATTAAATTCATTCCATAAATTGATCTGAAACCAAACTGTTGATGACGTTTGGACAGTAGCTGAAGGTTTTCTTACCTCAGGTGATACACAAGTTGAGTTAAAACAACAGTGCATTTAAGGACGTCTGAGCAGTTTCTGTGTATCTTTTAGGGCAACACTGGACCTCCTGGGCTTGAAGGTGTCAGAGGACCAAGAGGAGAATCGGTGAGAACGTTTTCAAACTCTTGCCTTTTCACAGCAGTGAAAGTGAGCAGTATAGTGGGAAATGAAAACACAGTGAAGCAGAGCTTGACTTGACTTTCACATCATCTTTGAAGGGTAAACCTGGAGAGCCTGGACCGTCCGGAAAGCCAGGGGCGCCGGGGAATCCGGTGAGTTTATGAGCCCATAGGTTACCATACTGATTCTCAGCCAAAGAGAAGAATGCACACAGCTGCAAGCTGCGATCTGCAGTTTAATGCAGAGTCGATTTTGCCCTTGAATGCTCCTTTTTTCATAGCACAACATTTGACCCAAAACATTATTGGTATGAATCTCAATCTTCTTCTGCGGCTGGCATTTTCCTCTTAGTGAGATTTGTGTGAGATTTTGTCCAGTTCACTTTTAATCTCCCTGAATCCGTCTTAATGAGAGACGCAGCATGAAGAGGCCTAAGCCGTGTGGATATTGGGATAAATTCTGTTTTTGTGCGTTACCCAGGGTCTTCCCGGAACCAAAGGAGAGGTGGGAACCCCAGGATTACCCGGTTTTGCAGGTCCAAAAGGACCCTCGGTAAGCAGAAGCGTCCCTTCAGATTTCTTTTGAACGTTTTTTGTGTTTATGTCAGCGCTCACTTATCCATCTTGAACAATCCAAGCTGGCGTGAGTCTCTGAATCCCGCTGGAAAGCCATTCTGAGTTGTCCCACTTCCTTTGATTCAAAGCGCTTTGTGTCCTGAAGTCTTTTAAAGCAGTCAGATGATAACACGCTTTCTCCCATGCAGGGCGCTCCTGGTCCTGTCGGGCTTGAGGGCAAACAAGTAAGTACTCGTTCACAGCAACTTTGACGTGCATCCTTTTTCACATTAGCTGTTATCGACTAAAACGACTGACCGTGGCTGTTTTGCAGGGAATGCCGGGAAGACCTGGAGACAGGGGATCCAAGGGAGACAAGGTGATTGTGTAGAGCCAGTTCATCATTACAAAAAAAGAGACTTTAATCCTTACCAAAACAGTGTCCGAATAAATTCTGATTCAGATACCTGCCCCTAAGGCCAAATAAAAGGTTCTGGACAGTCTCCTTAAACTCTAAGTGGACATGCTTCACAGATTTTAATGAATAATTTATAATACTTAAGATAAAAAATTGAATAAAAGGCCAACATTTGAGGGCGTATATTGTCTTTGAATGAGACAATATAGGAGTGAACTAGTTTAACCCCTTAAAATACCAGGCTTATTACAGACTAAGGCTTATTATTCAGTGAATAATAAGAGAATTCAGTGTAATCTGGCTGAGCTATTCTTAGATTATAGAGGTGTGTAATGAAACTGGCCATTTAAGGGGTTAACGAAATAGCCCATCTAATCAACATGTTTTGGAACAACGACCCTATTAGTATGATGTAATTTACATAATACCTATTAGGTGCAATTTGCCAGTCACATGAGATTCTGTGGAGAATATCATTGTCTGATCAGCCTGTTTATCTACTGCTTTACCTGAATTTAACATATTGGGAAAAAACTAAAATGTGGCCTGTTTAAAAGTTTTAGTATATTTAATACGTTTTACTTCCAATATGTTACACAATAACTCAGCAAATAATAGAAATTGTGCTCCAAAATTGGCCTGAAAATGGCAGACCTAAGTGTGTCCTCTGTAAAGGATGTGTTCACTTATTTTCACTTCGAAAATCAACAAAACACGCCGTTTAACCAGTGGTGTCCAAACTTTTGCATGCAACATGTAACATTTGCCCACAATAATCATTAGAAGTCATTTAATCCCTCAACTAAGGCTTATTATTCAGTAACTACAGGGATTTCAATGCAAACTAATGGAGCTTTTCTAAGGTTGTAGAAGTGTATAATAAAACGTTGGGCCTGCCGGTCAGCCCTGGGCATTTAAAGGGTTAAAGAAATAGCCCATCTAATTAAAGGAATAGCTCAACCTGTTTTGAAACATGCTCAACCACCCTATTTGTGTGAGGCTGTGTGCAGTATACCGTTGTCTGATCAGCCTGTTTACCTTCTGCTTTTACTGAATTTAACATATTGGGAAAAAAAATAAAAAGCCTAAAATGTTTCAAATTTATGGTACACTTAATGTTTTACTTTCAATATGTTAAACTCAACAAATAAGTAGAAACTGTGCTCCAAAATTGGTAGGAAAGTAGCAAAGTATTGTGTTCTCTGAAGAGGATGTGTCAACTTATTTACACTTAGAAAACCATCTAAACATGTCATTTAACCAGTGGTGTTAGAAACTTTTACATACAACTGTGACATTTGCCCACAATAATCATTAGAAGTCATTTAATAGAGAAAAAGTGTAAGATTAAATTTATCATTCATGCCTGCTGGTGCCATTATCCAACATATGAATCCAAAGTGCTTCTATCTTTTAAAATCTTATTGTTGATGTCTCAATATGTTCTTCCACGTGTGACTGTTTCTACACCACTGCAGTTAAAGGATAGGACATTGTGTTTTGCCTCTATCAAGTGTCAAACCACAAGAGAACAGTCCTTTCCTGTGATACAGCTCTTATACTCTGATAATCTAGCTTTTGGTGGTCTGGACAGAATAGAAGATGAACTCTAAAAATAACAAGTAATGTGAGGTTTAATTCGATATTTTGTGAGTGTTCTTGGATGTGTGGAAGAACTAGTTTTCACCAGATTATAAAGCTGGAGTCACTGGAACTTCTTAACTTTGCAGTCACCATGACCAAGTCTGTCTTTCAAATTCTGTGCTTTCCTATATGAAAACTAAGGGGGCTTCAAAAAAACCTGTGAAATGAAATATATTTAGCCATTAAACTGCCCTGACTGCAGGACCTGCAACATGTCCTCCAAATCTGCTCTGTTCTCCAGGGTGAACATGGTATAAAGGGAGACAAAGGCCCAACTGGAGATACAGGAATGCCTGGGAACCCAGGACCTCCAGGCAGGAAGGGCCACACGGGTATGATGGGCATGTCTGGACCCCCAGGAGAGGTTGGTCCACCTGGGTCACCAGGAACACCAGGTCAGCCTGGTCTTCCAGGACAAAGGGTGAGATTTCTTCATTATTTATTGGGATGGATTAGAGACATATTGGAGTGAAGTAGCTGAAGTGAGCATCAAGTGCCTGTTTTAGGAAGACTAATGCAGCTTTGGTGTTTTCTTTAGGGAGAAACACCATCGCTGGAGTCGATGCGGAGGTTAATTCAAGAGGAGCTCGCCAAGGAACTGGAAGGTGGGATCTGACCACGTTTAACTTCATGACTACTGATCTAACATCATAACTGTTGATTAGGGAATTGATTGAGCTTTGTGTCAGACTAATTTGAATGTTCAGTATATTTTTGATCAAAATGTACCAAAATAATCAGATCAATTCATGATGAAATGTTCGAGTTCATGATGCTTTGAATCGGTTGCTAAACAACTGTAATTGTAATGTGATACATATTGCACTGTATGTTTAATAGTGTTTTAATCCCTTTGTGATTTTTATGCATTCCCAGCCAAATTGGCCTACATCATGGCCCAGTTTCAGCCCACACACATTAAGAGCACGGCTGGGCGTCCTGGGCCACCAGGGCCACCAGGTAAAGATGGACCACCTGGAAGACAAGGACCACCTGGAGAGCCTGGTATGCCTGGCCAAAACGGAGCAGAAGGTGTCAGAGGTCCAATGGGTCCAAAAGGTACTTTGCTACAGGAAAATCTTGCTGCTTTAAGACGTTTAAATCATCCCCATTAATGTTTTCTACACTTTTGTTTGTTGTTGATCTGAATATGTTCCGTTTTACACAGTCATTCATAGAGGTAGGAAATGTGGCCTTGACATTTTATTGCTGAATTGCAGGTGAAAGAGGTACCAAAGGAGAAAAAGGAGAAGATGGCGTCGGACAGCGAGGAGAGCCTGGCCCATCTGGCCCTGCAGGTAAGACCCTGTGAAAATAGTGAAACTGATAAGGGCAAGAGATGCAGCAGTGTGCTGACAGTATGAATCCGTCACAGTGGTGGTACGCTGAGGGGTACATCTCCAGTACTTTCACTCAGGGAACATGATTCTACCATATTTTTGCCAATCTGATTGAATACATTCTGATTATAGATGAAGACTGAGGTGTTTATTCTCACTCTGCTCAACAATCTGATGATAATCTCCGTTTACATGCTCACTACAAGTAATCTGATCCACAATTACACTTCAACTTAGTGTAGACGTTACCATGACAACCAGCATCACGTAAGTCCAGTCAGAGTGAGATGAGCAGCAGTGAGCAGTGCTTGTGTTTTTAACTGTTTTAAAATGATGTCAGACTCAGGAAAACGTCCTTCACATGTCCTTGTTAAAGAAGGCCGAGAGGAAGACGTCGTGTTCTGAGACACATAAGCTGGACGTCCGTCCCACCGCTGTCTCCTCTGTTGAACGTTATAAACTTTCACTATGACGCGACGCACATGATCAGAACATACTTAGACTTTCTGACAGGGAATGTAATCAGATACAGGCATTTACACAGCTATTATACTTCTATTTAACTGATTATTTACAGGATCACCCACCTTGTTCAGTCGGATAGAAACTGTATTCCGATTGGCCTCAACTGGACTAGTCTGTTCTGATTGAGGTTTATACATGGACGTATTTTATTCTGATTGAGGTATTAGTTGGATTATTAACAGATATTGTTATTCGGCTGTGCGTAAATGTAGCTATTGACTCTGATGCTCTGGCCTGTTTACATATGGGTTTATTCGATGAATTTAACATATTGTGAAAAAAAATTGCAAAAGCTATGACACATTTAATATTTGATGTTTTTCTAGCATGTTGAAATCAGCAAATTAATAGAAATTGTGCACTAAGAAGTGCAGAAGAATTCCATATTTAATAGCGGCGAATCCTCTTGAATGCTTTCCACCTGATGCACCAATAATGACTTTAACTTTCTATTTCTGTAGTGTAAGCAGTTATAAATAAAACAGTTGTGAAATCTTCATCACCAGCAGTCTGAGCTGAGCTCTCTCTGTTGCTGTAGGTCCAGCGGGAATGCCCGGATACGGTAAAGACGGTCTTCCAGGAGCATCAGGAGCTCAGGGAGAGCCTGGAAATCCAGGACCTCATGGTCAGCCTGGCCCACCGGGACCCCCTGGACAGTGTGACCCCTCTCAGTGTGCCTACTATGCCAGCCTGGCGTCACGACCTCACACTAAAAACGTCAAGGGCACCTAAGCCCCCCCCGCCACTCACCTGGACCTATTTATGAACTTGGAGATTCAGTGAAGCCAGAGCTTTTCCTGTCAGTGTCCGGGGAACTTCGGTTTGGGAACGCTGAGACGTGCGTATGAGTGTGTGTTCATGTGTGTGTGTATGCGTGTGTGTGGGTGTGTGTGTCCTGCCCCTCAGATATCATAGGGAATTGTGGGTAATTTGTCTGGTGGGCAGGAATGGGGGGTTTGTACTATAATTTGAGGAAGACTAGGTATTTAAACGTAGCTCAGTTTCTTCCGTCAGGGATTTTCGCTCTCTGTTGACCAAGATGTACTGTCCAGGCTTTTTAGGTAACCTATGAACATATATCCCAGAAAGCCCCTTACTGCCCTCACCTGAGGTGCCATGGTGATATTACTGTACTCCCCCTGAGCCAGTGAGTAAAATGATTGTGATAAATTAGGCTGATTTGATGTTAAGGGGGTCTTTTGAAGTTGGGGTGGGGGTAGTTATCTAGTTTTATCCTCTGGAGTTTGTTGATGTGGAGGATGGTGAAAAGTGGTGAAACATGATTTTTTGACACGTCAATATCAAGTTTCAAGACGCAATCATTAGTGGTCTGATCCGAGATGATGACGTGCACCATTATGCCCACCGTTTTCATTATATTCTGTTAAGTTATGGAGCTTTTAGCCAGTTTGCAAATATATTTTTAGTTTTCAACTTAATTAAATCCAATATTAAATAACAACCCAACTCTTAAGAACGTTATTTTTGGCACTCGTTATGTACTTAGTTCTTCGCCCCAAGATATACACGAAATTCAACAGCATGACTAATTGGTTGCCTTTTTTCTTTTATTGGAATTAGGCTGAGAAGCAAGAATGCATTACACAGAATGTTTTCTTTTCCATGAGCCACAGCTATGGAGGGTAATGTCCTTCCCTAATCTACCAGTTGTACTGTTAATCAGTTATGTTGACTCATAAAGTTTCTGTATCTTTATATTCTTGTTGTTCTTTTCCGTCCGGTGGTCTTTGTGACCTGTGCTGTCCTACCGAGGCAATAAAAACAAGGTTGTTAACTCTGATGGAAAATCACTGTACACCTGATGTGTGGTTTAATAATACACTTCCACACCAAAAGTCTGAAAGCGTTGCCTCTTGTGAGCCAATTAAAGGCACCTGAATGAAGAGACAGAGTCGGTTTCTGATTGCATGAAATGACCACAGCCCTCAGCAAGGGATTTCATTCCAGTGTGATGTAAATAATGACCAACTGCAGCAGTAACAACAAAAACAAGCATAATTTGTGCAGTATGACCAGTTTTGTCTGTTTTTTTGGTGGTTTTGGTCAGTGAGAAAGATTGTCTGGAGAGGCAGGGCGTCAGACTTGTTATCGGTCACTGTATAGATTACAGTCTAGTGCTCACAAGACTTTTGCGATCGTTTTGTTCCATTTGAGAGTTGGCTACTATCATCTGAAATGTATAACCTGATTGAACCCATCTGTGTACTGTACCTAATGAAGAAATGATTGTTAACTGCAGGTTCCTGCTTTCCCCTATTTCCCCTGTCGCCCACAACAGAACCGAATCTGTTCTGGACGATGGTAGGAAAGTCTGTTTACCCAAGATCGTCCGAACAGTGTTCTTTTGTCTTTTGTTGTCTGCTTGTTTGTGCTTGCTCCTCTTGTTTTAGCTTCGCAGATGATAAATGGCAAGTGCTAATGATGGGACATGTTTTGACAAGCTAGCTCATTACACTCGCATAGTTATGTAAATTAAGTGCTTTTGGTCACTTTGCAAGTAAACCTAATGTCAGCATTTTTTGACTCCCACCTGTGTTTTTCTTCACAGCTGGTGCTAACGTTGTCTCGGCCTTTTTGTTTCACGGCTTTATACGTTTTTAATGTCTTTTTTCCTTTCATCACAGGTTGCATTAAATTATTTTAATGAAGTACCGGTACAGGCCTTGTAAAATAACATAAATTATGCATGAACTCTACCTGTTTATACTGATTCCTTGGTGCTAAAATAATCAAAATTGGGACAATGTGTATGTATTGGAAGGAAATATATGTTTTAATAAAGAGTGGATCAGGCCCATTTTATAGAACATGCATTTTCATTGTGAATCTTCCTTGTTTTATAGAGACGTTTGAATTAGCACAGTGTCGTATTGTCGAATTCAGAGTTTATAGCCCAAAGTAAAAGTTATTAAGAATTATTTACTGTTCATTGTATTGGTTTAACCTGATTTTTCTCTTTTTAATTTCAGGTTATCCAATTGAGCCTTGAGCTTTACATGTATACATATGAACAAAATAATGTGAATTGGTTTCTTTAGAAAAAAATGGATAGCATTTGCAAAGCTATCACATAATGTAGTTCTATAATTCTATCTCTGCTTTTAAAAAAGTATATGAAACATCAAAAATGTTAATGTGTATGAATTTAGTCTCAAAAGTGGTGTTCCTCAGGGGCACATATTAAGCCCAATTGAAAGTCATAATGAAGATTCTTTCTCTGATTTAAAAAATGTACATTAAACAGTAAAAACATTAATGTGTATGAATTTAGTCTCAAATAATACAACATATACAGGGATCCTGAGCGAACTGAGTGGCATGTTAGGCCCAATTAAAAGTCATACAAACTGGGTCAGGACAATTCTCAGGCTCTACAGGATAAACTCCACAGCTTGTCACAGGCTTGTCTTATATGGTCATCAAAATGACATATTCTGTTTCTAATCCTGGCGTAGTAAGAAGCTGAGTATTAATTAAGCAATTCAAGTGAGCAGAACAGTGAGTTCCTGCACAGGAAGGAAAATAAGTAAATAAAAGATGTTCAAGGTAATAGAAACTCTAATAATCCATCCTATCACCCTCCTCTGAAACACAGTTCAGTATTCATGTCATTCAGCTCTAAAACGCAGCTCAGTGAGCTGTGTAATTGTTTCGTATTATCTACTGTACGTAGCAAGAAAAACTGCCCAGAACAGCAAGAAACGTGTATCTATTGATTTTTCTTATACGAAAGTCCATTTATCCTGACAGGGAAGTCAGTGTGAAAAAAGGCTGCGCGCTGTGAAATGATTTTATACTATGCTTTGTCATAGCATTTCATAATTGTTTCTTGAATGTACTGTATTCGCAGGAGCTGCATTAACATTACAGGCTGGAGAAGTTTATCTATCCATTTGAAAGCCTGTTTTTAACTTCAAAGGCCTGGTTTCACATCCTGGCCCTGAAAACGAAAGTAACATTAGTTTGCCAAGTTATTTATCAATTGTCTGGAGGAATTTCTCTCCTTTTACCAGCTCTTTTTTTTATCTCCTTTGTTTGATGTTACTAAATCAAATTGAAATGCAGTGAATTAATTTCACTTCCACACCAATTGCACCATTTAAGGTGGAACGGGAAAATTCTAACAAGAATCTGGCGAATGAGAAACTGACTTAACAACTTTTTAGTGTTTGACAGTTTCTCTCCGCAGATTAAACGTATCAGGAAACCAGCTGAGTTCTTATAAATGCAAATAAATCCATTCATCTCCAAATCATTGATGTTCGTCTTAAAGCTTTCTCTTTGTCTTAAATCTTTCTCTTTGCCTACTAGCTAGGCTATATTTTTATCTGCGTTGCTATGGTGACCAGCAGTCTGTGCGCCAACCTTCAGGGTTAATTTTTGGTGAATTAGCAGTTCTACATTGACTCCAGCGTTTGTTAAAACTGTGTTAGAACTAACGATCAGCAGAGCTTTATTTTACTGCAAAGGAGGATCATTCTTTATTTACTTATTCATACCTAAATCGAATTCTGCTGTGGAGCGGCAACTGGGCAGTAAAAGAGCTGCATGTTGCTGACCCCTGTGATGGAGGGACATATATGCCTAACCAGTGGTTTGGGCTGCAAGTTTCAAAGGACTCGTTTTATGTATTTTATGTATAATGTATTGTCCCAGTTTACAGTGTGTGTAATAACTGTGTAGTTACACATTAACAACACATACAACAACAGTGTAACTGCCAGTGATGTATTCACAGATAGACTACAGCAGTGCAGCCTAAGTAAATACACGTGTACTGACTACAGTGCACCTTGACAACACTATCAGCGTATTTTCCCTTAAGTAATTATACATGTATAATAAGGTGAACAGCTGTTTTTCCAACAGGACGTTTCTGATTGTACATTATAAAAGTACTACATGCATCTGGCCAGGAAATGCCAACTTTCCTAACATTTAGCCAGCGGTCATTGCACAATTATGTTGTGACATGAGAACCAAAGTTCTGGCTTTAACCCATTCTGTAGTGGCACTGTATTTAAACAGCACCAACACTAATAAACTAAAAGCGCTAAAAAAGGTCAGTACAGTATGACCTTGAGTGTGTTATTGATATTATATCACTGATTATACCAATTATTCATTTTTATTACTAGATCTAGAGACAATTACATTCAACAAAGAAAAATAGCTATGATTTAGCTGCATAAACACTACTTAATGAAGCATCGTAACACAAAACCTTCAGGATGTTTATACTGGAAACGTCAAGTTTTCTCATCAAGACAAAGCATAAACAAACTCCGAACTTATCAGCTAATAGCTTCAGAGATCTGTCTACATACTTTACACATGCAACACATTTAAAAGCAATATTAGCAGCTCACAGCAGATGAAGGACTATTAACTCAATCTTCCAGGCTGGCAGTATTCTTATATTTGTATATAATAATAGGTAGAGTCATGCTTTTCTCTGCCTCATGGGTTAGTTTCTCATGTTTTTGGCTAATTTAACCATGTTTAAATGAAAGACAGCAGGCTTCATTGCAGTATTTAAGGTAGAACATCAGCATGATGTAATGCAATGAGTCAAATGCAGAAACTGGGTGTCCGTCAAAAATGAAGCTGCCACTTCCATCTGGTGTAAATAGCTTATTGGTTACAATGGGAGTGTTCTGGTTTTCTCATTGATGCTAACTTTGGTCACTTTCTGTCGTTTTTTTTTTTGTTTGTTTGTTTGTTTTGTTTTTGTTTTTGTTTTTTTTGCAGGCTTGTTCCATAACCCCTTAAATGGCCAAGGCTCACTGGCGGGCCCAAAGTTTTATTACACACTTAGAGTAGATCAACCAGTTTGCACTTAAGTCCCTGTAGTTACTGAATAATAAGCCTTAGTATGTAATGAGCCTGAGATTTTAAGGGGTTAATTAAGGTTTTAATGAGTGGTTGTCATTGTTGCATTACAGGCTAATAAGGCTGAGGGCTGAGTAATACTTAGATTCATTTGGTGCACCATTATCATAGAATGCCTCTCTGCTATAAATGAACATCACTGCTTTATAAAGAGCGTCACACTACAAACTAGTTTGAAGTCAGAACTTTGGTTACCATGTCACAAACCAAGCATGCTACATGCTACTGCTACTAGCTAAATGTTTGGAACACTGTTATTTCCATCTATATACACTTGTGCAAATACTTAAGTACAAATGATATATAAAAATTTATATATCTGGATTTGCATACGCTGTACTTCCATAATCCATTTATAACAGTGAATTCATCACCAGTTGTTGAATGTATTGTTAATGTGCAACTACAGTTATTAAAGACTCTTAATGTAAAGTGGAATGCAATGTATAGTGAGGCACTCAAATGGAAAATACGACCCTCAATGATTTCCCGTTGGTGGAGAATTTTTATTTCAGTATCCCAATCAATGCACCACAGTGATGTTACGCGGACTTGATTTAGCTTACTCTCTGGTAGCGTTACTGCCATTAATTATCCTTGATGATCACATTTTGATCAAAAAAAAATAAAAACATGTGAAAAACCTTTTGTACTTTTGTAAAAACTGCCTGACCCCTTACTGTACTTTACAAATCATTTCACAACAGGCTTTGGTTTGCAGCTGCTCATCTGTGCTATAGAAATGAAAATGCCCGTCTGCATTTCCTCCTTTTATTCTACTGTATGTACAAGTCACAACAACAACTGTGCACTGGATCGGAATTCAAAAGATCTGTCTTCGTAAAGATGAAAGAGTCTCTATACAGCTGTCGGAAGTTTCCCCCATTTCCGCTGATTCACCATGACCATATCTGGAGTCTCTTCAAGTTTATTGGAATTATATGCACTTCCACTCTGTTCACTGTTGACTGTTGACAAATGGTGATTATGATGGATGTATTTTTTTCTCAGGAGCTTCATGTTCATGGGCCTTTAATGTTGATGGGCTTTTTCCCACCGACTACGTAAAGGGGCTGTGGTCTGAAGCAGTTTGAGGGGTCACAGAGGCCGGGGGGTCCAGGGGGTCCCCTGGTTCCTGGGGTACCTGGGATACCGGGTGTTCCTGCTTCTCCCCGGGCACCATTTTGGCCATCCTTACCAATGCCATTCTTGCCAGGAGGTCCTGCGTCAAACAAAGAAGCATAGGAAATATAAGGCCAAGTCAAA